GTTATATGCCCCAAAGAACTGAAAACAGTAAGTCAAACAGATACTTGCATGTGAATGGTCATAGCGGCATTATTCACAAGAGTCAATAGGTGGAAACATCCCAAGTGCCCATCAACAGAAAAAAGGATAAACAAAATGTGGTCCACACATACAATGGAGTATTATTCAGCCATAAAAGGAATGAAGTTCTGATACCTGCTTCTACATGGATAAACCTTGAAAATGTTATGCTAAGTAAAATAAGCCAGACACAAAAAGACAAATAATGTATAATTCCACTTACATAAAATATCTAGAATAGATAGATTTACAAAGACCAAAAGGGGAGTAGAGGTTACCAGGAGCTGAGGGAAGAGGAAAATGGGGAGTTATTTCTTAGTGGGTAACGTAGCTTCTATTTGGGATGATGAAAAATTGTAGAAATATGTAGTGACTGTATTAATACATTGTGAATGTATTAATGTGACTACATCGTACACTTAAAATGGTTAAAATGACAAATTTTGCTATGTATATTTAACCACAGTAAAAAAATTCCCAAAAGACATAAAATACTTATAAATAAAGTTAACAACAGTGTAGAACTTGTACTCTAGACATTATAAAACATTGCTGAAAGGAATTAAAGAAGATCTGAATACGTGGAAATGTAGCTTATGTTTATGGACTTAATATTAAGATGGTGATACTGTCCAAATTGACATATAGATTCAGGGCAATCCCTATCAAAATCCCAGATGGCTTCCTTGCAGAAATCAACAAGCTGATCTTAAAAATTTTATGGAAATTTAAGGGACCCAGAATAGCCAAAACAATCCTGAAATAGAAGAGCAAAGTTGGACTCATACTTCCTGATTTCAGAACTTACTCACAGGTGCAGGAATCAAGACGGTGTGGACTGACATAGAGATACATGGAAAAGAACTAAGAATCCATAGATAGATTCTCACATTTACAGTCAGTTGATTTTTGACAAGAGCACCAATACAATTCAATGGAGAAAAAAAAATAGTCTTTTCAACAAGTGGTGCTGGGACAACTGCATAGCTACATGAAAGAGAATGAATGTGAACCCCAGCTCACACCACATACAAAAAAAACTCAAAATGGACTAAAAACCTAAATGTAAGAGCCAAAACTATTAAACTCTTAGAAGAAAACATAGACCTGAATCTTTGTGACCTTAATTAGGCAATGGCTGCTTAGATATCGCACCGAAAGGACAAGCAGCAACAGAAAAGATACATAAATGGGATTCCACTGAAATTAGTAACCTTTGTCCTTCAAAGGACGCCGTGAAGAAAGTGAAAAGACAACCCACAGAATAGGAGCAAAATTTTGCAAATCATATATCTGATAAGAAATCTGTGTCTAGAATATATAAAGAATTCTTATAGTAATTATAATAAAATTATTATTACAATAATAAAAAGACAGCCCAATTTAAAAATGGGCAAAGGGTATGAATAGAAGTTTTTCAGAAAAGATATTCAATGGCAGTAAGCACATAAAAAGATGGTTAACATCATTAGCCATCAGGGAAATGCAAATTAAACGCACAATGAGATACCACTTCACACCCATTAGGATGACTATAATTGAAAAGACAGATAATAAACAAGTATTGGTCAGGATGTAGAGAAATTAGAATGATCATACACTGCTGGTGGGAACATAGTGCAGCCACTTTGGAACACAGTCCGGTAATTCTTTGAAAGGTTAAATATATACCATATGACCCAGCAATCCCATTCCTAGGCATAAATCCAAGAGAAATGAGAATATATGTCCACACAAGCACTTGTACATGAATGTTCATAACAGCATTATTCATAGCAGACAAAAAACAACTCAAACACTGTCAGTTAATGAATAGGTAAATAAATGTGTGTCTATACAACAGAATATTGTTCAGCAATAAAAAGAATGAAGTGCGATACATGCAACAATATGGATGAATCTTTAAAACATAAGACAGACACAGTCACCTTGTATATGATTCCATTTATATGAAATGTCCAGAATACTCACATCTGTGGAGCAGAAAGTAAATGAGTGGGTGACTGGGGTGGGATGGCGGGGTAAGGTGGTCGGGGAGTGATGGCTACTGGGTTTCTTTTGGGGCAATGAAAATGTTCTAAATTGATTGTGGTGATGGTGGCACAACTCTGTGAATATACTAAAAACTACCGACTTGTATACTTCAAATAGGTGAATTATACATGCAAATTATATCTCAATATAGTTGTTATCAAAACAACTATAGATTTCTCCATCCTGCTAGAAACTTCCTTCCAGGAGGATATGGGTTCATTATTCACTCCCTGAAGATAAAGCACCAGCTGTGCTTCCCCACCCGCAGCCATGCGGCATCCGGACCCTCTTTCTCTATCACATTTACTAGGATATCATCCTGGCCAGGAAAGACCAAGACATGCTAGTTGACCCCATGGAGCAGTGGATTATAGCGAGGAGGCGACCAGGATCAGAGCCACCCGCAGATGAGACACCGAATCTCTGTGTCTGCTGGAGAGGTGACTTGAGCCCATGGGTAAAGCCAAGATGACAGAGGCTGGCAACTTCAAAAGTGTGATTGTCAGAGGGGATGACAGTGGTGGTACCGGTGACTTGAGGTAGCAACTATCAGGCATTTACAGCAAGCCAGGCCTACAAGTGTAAGGTTTCTTGTCATCCTCATGACACTCTTACGAGATACAAGGCATTAGGATTTCCATTGTAGGTATGAGGAAACTGAGGTTCAAGGAAGTTAAATAACTGGGCACAAGTCACACAGCAAGAAGAGGCAGAGGCCAGAATGGATCCCAGGCATACCATGGCCAATGTCAAAATCCCCCTGGTGTCCCAGTCCGAGCAGGATTCAGGAACCTTTGCACATGAAAGGGGTTGTGTGGGCAAAAGAATGGCTCCCCACTCGCACTCTGTCCAGGCCCAGTGTCCCCCAAATAAGTGCTTAGAGGTTTATTTCTCTCCCAAGAGCACTGATGATGAGTTTCAGGGGGAATCCTGGGAGCTGTAACTGGGCTCAAAATAGAAACGAGAGCTGGCCCAGACCAGCACGTGTGGGGTGCCTGGAGGGAAGAAGCATCTACCACGAAGTGAGGAGGAGGCGCCACCCGCACCGACCCAGGCAAGTAGGTCGTGCAGCAATGTTGACATTCAGCAACATTGGCCTGAGAGCAACAGCCTTTGAGCTGGGCAACCTGGAACTTGGGCCTAACTTCCCTCTGTGGCCCTTAGCTTCTTCCTTGGATGCCAGATGGTCAGTCTGGAAGTTCCCTGCCCGTCAGTATAGCTGGTCTGTCCGAGTGTTGAGGACAATCCTATACATGTGCTCCCTAGGTCCTGATGCCCTGGTCACAGCCTACAAGGCTCTGACCCACTCTCCAGTCCCCTTCCTACACCACTGACCCTGTTGTGGGTTGAAATGTGTCCCCTAAAAAATATGTTGGAGTCCAAACCCCCAGTACCTGTGAATATGACCTTATTTGGAAACAGCGCCTTGGCAGATGTAACTGAGTTAAAATGAAGTCCTTAGACCCTAATCCAATATGACCAGTGTCCTTATAAGAAGAGGAAATGTCATGTGAAGACAAAGACACACAAGTTCAAGAAAACCTTGAGCTAGAGGCAGAGATTCAAGTGCTGCTGCTGCAAACCAAGGAATCCTGGGTCTACCAGAAGGTGAAGAGGTCAGGAAGGATCTTCCTCTAGAGGCTTTGCAGGAAGCATGGCCCTGCCAAAGCCTTGATTTCAGACTTATAGCCTCCAGAAAGGTGAGAGAATAAACTTGTTGTTTTAAGCCACCACGTTTACAGTACTTTGCTTTATCAGCCCTAGAAAACTAATACTTCCCTCTGGAAACTAGTAATTCCATCTGGAGGGAGGAAGGGAACATGCTTACATGCTCTGGCCACACCAGGCATCTCTCTGTTGCTCCACAGACCAGCTCCCTCCCACCCCAGGGTCTTTATGTGTGCTGCTCTTTTCAAAGGTTCTACATCTGCACACTTCACTTCCCACCCCCAAAGCCCCCACTGCTCCTTCCAAACTTGACTTAAATGGCACTCCTTCAGGGAAATCTGGACATGAGTATTCATTCCAGCTTCCCCTCAGAGCAGCAACAGGAATGCATTCTTCGAAGCCCTCCCCACGTCTGCAGTTCATCACTTACTTGTTCCATTGTGCAATGCCAGCTGTATGTGCAATGACCACAGGGCCTGGCCCGACACATTTACCAGCAGTCTTGTCCCCAAGGCCCCAAGGCTGAGGCAAGCTTGGGATTTTTTCTCTGTACATCATATTCTATGCTTTCAAGAACCAAGGTATGTTCAATGTCAGGAAAAGAAAACCTAGAAAACATAATGAGCAAAAAGGGGAAAATATACTAAAAATCTCACTGTACAAAGTAATCCTTGTTTAGCATTTTGTCATACATTCTTCCAGACCTTTTTTCATGCAATGCCTATTTCTTAAAATGCAATTAAACATTTATTGTTATCTGGCTATATACGAATATGCTACAGATTTATAGTGTACTGACCATACTAAACAAAATTATGATATAATAAAGAAAAAATTATCTTAAAAATGCAATTATAGTGTTTTGCACACCCCTTTTCTTCAATAAGAAATACATAATGAGCATTTAAGAGTGAATAAATACAAAATTACATCATCATTTTTAGTGACTGCTCAACATTCTAGTGCAAGATGAACCATGATTTAGTTATTACTCTCCAATTGTAGGGCATTTAGATCATTTTTAGTTTTTCTCTGGCATAAACAACACGGCTACAAACATCTGAAAACCGGGTATCTTTGTGCCCTTGTCTACTATTTCTTACTGGAAGATTCTGTAAGTGGATTACTAGGTCCATGATTTTTGTGTTTTTGAAGGCATCTAAAGCATAGTGCCAACTTGGCCTTAAAAGAGAGGAGCTTCCCCAGGAGAAGGGAAGAGACAAACAGGGTTGGGGGAAATGACGGCCAGCGAGGAGTGCAGAGCTGGCAGCAGTGGTGCCCCCCCGGGGGAGTTGGTGCTGGGCAGCCAGGAGGATCCCGGAGGCCCTGGGCTGCTCGGCTCAGCGGACCTGGGGGCAGGTGTGGAGACCCCACTCCAGGAACTCTGCTCAGGCCTTCTCTTGGGCATCCTTAACTTCCTTTGGTTCTGAAGGAGCTGAGGCCTTGCCCACCTCAGGGAGGCCCTTCGTGAGCCAATTGAAGGGGAGAGAAAGTGTGGGGAATTCCCTCTATTTGTAGGAAATGATTTTCACACATGCAAGCGTTTTCAGGAAGCCTCCTTACTGCCGGGAGGCCAGCAGCATTGATGAGCATGGTGTGTCTTGTTGATGCCGGGGTTTCTTGTGTGCGGGAGTCAAAGAATGAACTTCGCAAACACTCAAGGTAGGGAGAGGCTTTTATTTAGAGATAAAGTGAGAGGACAGAGCTCCTGGCTCATGCCAGGAGGGGACAAGAGAGCCCCGGGGTGGTGCCTTGTTTACGGGTTTTATAGGTGGTTGAGAGACAAAGAGCTAGGTAGGGATTCACACCTGCTAAGTGGTCCCAAAATGTTTATCTTTGAAGAGACATTAAGTTTCTTATTAGTCTTCCGGGTTATTTACAAGAAATTTACTGCTCTGATTTCCTCCCAGGATAGAGGCTTCCTGGTCTGGGGGCATATCACTCAAGACTGCCTGCTTTGCTCCCAAGGTGGGCTGAGTTATTGTCTGTTTGTTAAAGAGTATGTTAAGAAACTTACTTTTTAACTAGTTGAGTTTTAAAATGCAATCTTATCTTCAAGATGGAATCCTTCTTGCTTTTACTATGTTATTTTGGGCTTGCTTGTTAAATTGTCCAGGTTGCATATCACTTGATTAGGGCTGGAGGAAGAAAAGCTGCACCTGGGTAAAGTCAGAAAAATAAGCAGGGCCCCCCAGCAGGCCAAAGCAAATCTCACAATGGATTATCTTGCTTCGTTTTTTTCTGGAGGCCCTCACCATCCTCTGCCTAAGCCCCTGGTCCCTGTCTCTCTGTGAGGTGGGGAAGGGTGCACGCAAGGACTCTGACCTGGGCAGGAATGAACTGCGACACCCCAATCCCACTCTCCAGGCCCAGCCCAGCCTGAGACTGAATCAGCTTATCAGTTTGCCAAGGAGCAGCCAGAGACATTCCCCACCCCGAGGGAAACCCTAAGCACCACACCTGGTCCTGGCACCTTCTACCTCTTCCTGTGAAATGAACGCAGAGAGTAAGCTGGGCTTTGGGGCAATCCCCCTGACTTCAAGTCCCAGGCCCTCATGAGACCTTGGGCAAGTAAATTCACCTCACTGAGCCTCTGATTACCCATCCGGATACTGGATGGGTACCCTGGTTACCAACAGGGATAGTATTGTACCTACCTGGCAGGGTGGCTGAGTGGATTAAGAGAAGTAATATATACACTTGGCATAAAGTCTGGAGCATGGTGAGCACTTTTATTACTACTACTGTTATTATTGTCCACCTGACGGCCCTTTTGGCTGGAACCACCGGGTTTTCTCTGAGAAGTCACAGGCGTGGCCCCTTCCTGTGGACAGCCAAAACCTCAGTCCCTGTAGGCTTTCTGCTGCTGTCAAGCCCTTCACTGAAAGCTGTTGTTACAGGAAATAACTTCATTTTCCCCTCCTCCCTCCTGGTATCACAGTCTTCAGAAGAAGAGGATCTGCATCTGGACATCAGAATAAAAATGCCCAGGCAGGGCCGGTGGTGTGATGCGAGTGCTGTCCGTGGTGAGCGTGTGGAGCCCTGCCCGGGGTTGGCAGAGGGTGTTCGGCCCAGAAGCTTGAGAGGAAGCTGGAGTTCAGGTAGGCTTCCTGGTCTGGGGGCATATCACTCAAGACTGCCTGCTTTGCTCCCAAGGTGGGCTGAGTTATTGTCTGTTTGTTAAAGAGTATGTTAAGAAACTTACTTTTTAACTAGTTGAGTTTTAAAATGCAATCTTATCTTCAAGATGGAATCCTTCTTGCTTTTACTATGTTATTTTGGGCTTGCTTGTTAAATTGTCCAGGTTGCATATCACTTGATTAGGGCTGGAGGAAGAAAAGCTGCACCTGGGTAAAGTCAGAAAAATAAGCAGGGCCCCCCAGCAGGCCAAAGCAAATCTCACAATGGATTATCTTGCTTCGTTTTTTTCTGGAGGCCCTCACCATCCTCTGCCTAAGCCCCTGGTCCCTGTCTCTCTGTGAGGTGGGGAAGGGTGCACGCAAGGACTCTGACCTGGGCAGGAATGAACTGCGACACCCCAATCCCACTCTCCAGGCCCAGCCCAGCCTGAGACTGAATCAGCTTATCAGTTTGCCAAGGAGCAGCCAGAGACATTCCCCACCCCGAGGGAAACCCTAAGCACCACACCTGGTCCTGGCACCTTCTACCTCTTCCTGTGAAATGAACGCAGAGAGTAAGCTGGGCTTTGGGGCAATCCCCCTGACTTCAAGTCCCAGGCCCTCATGAGACCTTGGGCAAGTAAATTCACCTCACTGAGCCTCTGATTACCCATCCGGATACTGGATGGGTACCCTGGTTACCAACAGGGATAGTATTGTACCTACCTGGCAGGGTGGCTGAGTGGATTAAGAGAAGTAATATATACACTTGGCATAAAGTCTGGAGCATGGTGAGCACTTTTATTACTACTACTGTTATTATTGTCCACCTGACGGCCCTTTTGGCTGGAACCACCGGGTTTTCTCTGAGAAGTCACAGGCGTGGCCCCTTCCTGTGGACAGCCAAAACCTCAGTCCCTGTAGGCTTTCTGCTGCTGTCAAGCCCTTCACTGAAAGCTGTTGTTACAGGAAATAACTTCATTTTCCCCTCCTCCCTCCTGGTATCACAGTCTTCAGAGGAAGAGGATCTGCATCTGGACATCAGAATAAAAATGCCCAGGCAGGGCCGGTGGTGTGATGCGAGTGCTGTCCGTGGTGAGCGTGTGGAGCCCTGCCCGGGGTTGGCAGAGGGTGTTCGGCCCAGAAGCTTGAGAGGAAGCTGGAGTTCAGGGGAGTGTGGGGGATTTCTGAACATCCTCAGTTTGGGGTAGCAAAGGGGAATGGACTGGGCTTCTCAAGCTTCCCCCTGCAGCCCCAAGACTAGGGCATGGCCCACCAGGGCCTTGAGAGTTGGGGCAGAAAATATTTCCATCGCCAGGGCACCCCTGGCTGTGCTCTGGTGAGATGCCAGCGCTGGAGCTTTGCGGACAAAGTTTCGACTGCTTTTTAGCGTTCATTTCCAGGCTGCATCCAGAGAGGCTGCCTGTGGTCAGCGGGAGCCACAGCGCTGGCCTGTCCTCTCTGTTGTCTTTCGGAAAGAACCTGTGCTCTGCAGGGGTTGGCCAGCCAGAGCCCTGACACTGAGGTCCCCGGGGACCCAGCCGTGGTGGCAGCTTTCTGGACGCTCCTCCCCGATCCTGGAACTGTGGTTTGCAGCTTAGCCAACGAAGGTCCTCCCTGTGGTGGATTCGGGGAGAGGGAAGCCCAGGTCCCCAGTGGTCCCTTAGGTGGGTGGCACCTCACAGGACACTTTCAGGTCTGGGTCTGGGACAGTCTCTGCCTTCTTTCTTCACCACACCTCTGGTCTCACTGGGGCTGGGTGGGTGTAAAAGTGTGAGCATGTGCCCTTCTCCACTTGCTCTGTTATCAACAAATCTCTCCTGGACAGGAGCTCGGAGATGTCGTATGCCCAGCCTGGTCCCTAAAGGTACATCCACGAGCAGCCTTGGGGTATATGGCTGGACACCAGGGAAAGACCCAGCTTGGGAGAGGACCTAGCCAGGGCCTTAGTCCAGAGGTGTAGGAGAGTGAGGGGAGCACAGCCCTGCACTTCGTCGTGCCCGCGGATGCCTCACTCCAGCTGCACCCACCCGTCCCGTGGCCCTCGGGTCGCTGAGTCCAGAAGACAGCCTTGATCTTGCTGCTGCGTGTCTCTGGTGGCCTTTGGGGGCTGGGGAAGCCATCACACCACCCTCTCCGATAGCTGCTGCTTCACCTGGCCTCCCTGCAGCTGGACCTGCTGCTCAAGGGGGTCCGCCATCTGGTCGAGGAACTGTGGCACGTCCACTCCAGCTGGCTCCCTATGGGGCACCCATGGCGACTGGGAACCCAAAGCGTCTGACTCCCTTGACCCCCAGCCCTGCCCTGCCTTGAATCTTTCTAGCTGAGTTGGGCTGGAGTCTGGGGTTTGACTGTCACCTGCAGGTGCCAGGGCATCTACTGGAGGGCTGTGCAGGCCTGCCTGGAAGCCCTGCTGCCGCCCTGGTAGTTCTATTGTCCCTTCGCAAACATGGCTGACTGCCCATCACTTGGATGCTTGCCCTCCTGGGCCTTCAGGTATGGTGCAGAGGGAGGTGGAGGCTGTGGCTAGTGGGACCTACTCTGAGCTCAATACTGCGCGTGGGACCAGTCCAGAGGTTGGTCTTTAGAGTGGGGCCTGTAATATCCTGGAATAGTGGGTTCAGCAATAGCAGGGAGGGGAGCAAGTAGGCAGCAGTTTGGGAAATCTTGGAGGAGGAGGACTCTGGTTGTTTTACCTGGAGGCCCCCAGCCCCACCCTGCTGTCCAGGGTCCGGCCCCAGCTGAGGTCTCCACAGTCTGAGAGAAAGGAACTTCAGCGTGGCCCACGGGCTGGCATGGTCATATTACATCAGGTTCCTGCAGATGATCCTGCCGGGTAGGCCATCCTCTACCCCCATATTTCCAGATCTGCAAGACAGACAGTAAGACACATAGCCTCTTGTGTTTCCACTAGTTTTCTTTTTCAAAGAATTTTCGTGTCTAACAAATCATTTGATTCTCCGTGCAATCCTGTTGGCATGAAGGATGTTATTGTTATGCCTGGTTTACAGGAAGGAATATGGGGCTTAGAACCATTAACTTATAATGACTTGTCTGAGGTCACCCATGAATTCTTTCAATAAATATTTACTGCATGCTGTGTACACTTCATGTGCATTTTCTCTTTTTTGTATTCATACTCCGTGAGGAAGAGATAATCATCATCCTGTTTTAGAGATAAGAAAATTGTGGTTCCGAGAAATAAAATGACTTGTTCAAAGTGACTCAGTTCAGTGAGAGGAAAAGATGGGATTTGAACCCAGATCTGTCCAGCGTCTGGATCCTTGATGACTCAACTGCGAGCCCATGCGTGGTGTCTCATTCTTCTGACTTGCTGGTCAAGACTGTGGTTCTCCCATGTCTCACTGCTGTCCTCCCGAACACTGGGGCTTCTGCTAGGAAATGGGTCTGGAGCTAGAGGCGTGGCTTGGTGCACCTGGAATGCCAGGAATGTCAGGGCTTTGCCTCCTCCTAGAGCCCGGAAATCAGTGGTGGGGAGTGGGGCTGATGGAAATCTTGACACAGGATAAGTGAGAGGAAAAGGGATGGGGGAGTAGGTGGAGGTACTGGGAGGGTTGCTGGCTACTCCGCCTTTTCTGGCCTCCTGGACAATATGAGTAGACATTGTACCCACATACTGAGGGGACCAATGACCTCAGTATCTGTCCTGGGTCAGATGGGAGACAGGGTTAGTGGGAAGACTTCTTGGTCCTCTCCACCCCAGGGCTCCAGGCTCAGATGCAAACTTAAAATAGTCTCCCCCAAAACATACTATGGGGGCAAGGAGCCATTGGCTGCAATCCTCGTCCCACTGCACTGTGGGGTACCTGACGATCTGAGTGCGGCTGGCCTCAACATTTGTTTCCTGCATGAGATGCCCCAGCAAAGCTTCGGCCGTGCTGGCATCAAGGGCCAGTTTACAGCAATAGCATCTATGAGCTTCTGAGACCAAGTAGCTGTGAGTGTGCAGGGAGGTGGATGCTGCTGGGAGCTCTGGCCCCTCACCAAACACTGGTACAAATTCACTGCTCTTCTCTGAGCAATTAGTCCCAGAGCTGGGCAAGATTCAGCTCTGGCAATGATAATTATAAGTAACATTTATTGAGCACTTACATGACAGATGTTGTTCTAGGTGCTTCATCCGACCACCTCACTGAGTCCAGGGAGGATTATGACCCCTACTTTACAGGTACAAAATGAGCCTCAGAGGACCAGCAAGAAAGGGGGCAGCTTCCACCCGAGTACACCACGCTCCTGATGATAAAAGTGCCCTGATGAAGGCTGTGAGTACATCCGAGGGACTTTCCCCGAGGGGGAGGGGGCCCAGACCAGCTTGAACCCCACAGCCCAGCCCTCAGACTCAATGTCCAGCTGGAGAAGTCCCAGGCCAAGCACACAGCCCAGACCCCATCGGAGTGGCTGTCTCCCAGAACTCCATCTCTACCGACTGAGGGAGTGGGACTCGGCAGTGGCACTGGGGACCAGGGTCTGCCTGGTCCCTGGCTGAGTCTGGTCTTTCTCTCACCTCCTATAGGCAATAACCTGTGTCCTGGAGTGTGCCAGCCCTGGCAGACCCTGTTTGCCATGTCACAGGTGGCCAGGCTGGCTTTAGTTAGCAGGATCGGCTTGAGCAGGCCAAACTCTTCTGCCGGACATTTGAAGACATGCTGGCTGGCAGATGCCCCTGAGTCTTGGAACAGCTGCCACCTCGTCTACCAGGGTGAGGGGATAGGCTGGAGGGCAAGAAGAGGAGTCGGGGGGCTCTCCAGGGGGTCAGAGCTAGATATGGCAGCACCATGCCCTGCGCCTTCCTGAGTGGTCATGGCATTCAAGCCCTGTCCCTTCCTCCCCTGGGAGAGGTCCCTCCTCCCTGGGACACTTGATTTCTTTCTGGGTCTTTGGTTATGGGTTCTGGATGGAGCATGAAGAGATGGGCTTTAGAGGCCCCTTGCTTCTTCTGGGGATGCCAGAAGCAGCCATGAGTCAAAGACCAGAGCTGTGGCTTCAGCTCTGCCACACCTTCGCTGTGTGACCATGGGCAAGTGTCTGCCTCTCTCTGGTCATCCTCTCTAAAAGCGAGAAGGTGAAATTCTGTTATCTTGAAAATCCCTTCTAATTTTAGGAATCCATGAAACTAGCCCCAGTGGCTACGGATGGGGAGGGGTGCAGGGAGGTGGGGGAGAGGGAGGGTTGGAGGTTGTGCCAGCCAGGTCCTCTGGGTGTGTTGAAGTGAGAATGTGTGAGGGCCTCACCCCAGTTCCCCACCCCTTCCCCACCCCCATTCCAGAACCCTCCTAGAAGAGGGAAGCAGCTTCTCCCTGTCACCACAGACCCTCCAGCACCTGTGGCAGGAGGACGGGGAGGTCCCTGTGGGCAGCGTGGAGACCTCGGTAGTGCCCAGTTCCTCCGCGTTGTCCCAAGAGCCATAGCTCATCAGTAGCATGGAACAGCCTCTCCCGCTCTGCAGAGATGTCTTCTGAAGCCCAGGGTCCCCTAGCTGAGCCCCCAGCAACCCCTAAGACTGTGGACGGGGGGAGGTTTCTTCAGCAGCTAGATTCCCAGCAGAGCCATTCCCACCCAAAGGAGGCCTCGCAGCAAAGGTCTCTGGACTTGATACCTCAAGATGAGCCCTGTAACCTTCAGCAAACGGTTTCCCCTCTCTGAGTCTCAGTGTTCTCATCTGTGAAAGGGGGTTATAGTCATCGAGGGTTGTTGTGAGGACATGACTGTGTGGAAGTTTACCTAAGTGCCAGGAAAATTTAAGGATCATGTCAGGGGTCTTTCGCTGGCCTCTCTGGACCTATTCTTCACTCCTCTCCACCTCCTTTGCCCTGGGATGGCATCAACAGGCTCCCCAGCCCTCTGTCCTCTGGCTTTCTGCTCAAGTTCCTCACTGGGGAGCCCTAGTGGGAGAATGGAGGGAAGGAAGAGGATGAGGTTGGGGTGTTTGCTCCCCCAGCTCCCTCCCTGCAGTATCGAGGTCACTGGGGGCTCTCTGCGTCTCTCCGTCTACACTCATGGCTCTGGGACCTTCTCAGAACCCTGTCTGTCTCCAGGTTCCATTAAGGGCTCCCCACCCCCGCCCCCCAGGCCCAGCAGGGGCTCCCTGCTGAGGGCCATCCCAGAGCACACATCCCATTTGCCATTTCCCTGCACCTGCCCTTTCTCAACAGTCCCCTTGTTTAAACATTCCTCAGATCACCCATGTTTTCCTGGCTGGACTCAACCATAGGAGCGATTGGCATTTATTATCTTCAGTGTCCAAATCTGCTTGCCCAGACATACTTCTCATACTCCTCCTAAGCCTAGCACAGGATGTCGGGGGTGGGGAGCAGGTACCGCTTCAGTGTGGACAGGACCCACCAAGTCAGGCTGAGGGCCTAGAGTGGGGCAGCAGAGTCCCCACTCCGCCTGTCCTTTCAGGGTCCTTGTCTCTGGTAGAGACTTGGTGGGCAGGGGGAGCCTAAGCCAGCACTCGATGCCATGAAGGGTACACAGCTGCATCCTGGGCACGGGGCTGCTCAAAGGAACAGGGGCCACTGAAGAGATGTCCCCGATGAGAGAGCGTGCAAAGGGACAAGGTGGAGAGAGGGCTTGTGTGAGGAGACGGCATATCCTCTGGGGGCCGTGGGCAGCGCGGCCGGCCACCTGCCGCACCTTATGCCATCACTATTAGAACTGAGTTGCTGCAGCAACACTGTGACGGCGAAATTTTCCCGCCTAGGAGGGCTGGTGGCCCGTTCCTACCAGTTCAAGCTGCTCCACCCAAGAATGGATCTCTCCCTCCCCCCTTGGTTTTTATCACAAATGCTCAAAATGAATTTCTGAGAACAGCATCCCTGTGGAGAAACGCTACATACACACGCACACACACACATGCACACACACACACACACACACACACACACACACACACACACTTGCCAGAAGGAACCAAATGCCCCCAAGGAAGATGACCAAGAGTGTGACGAGGGATCTGCCCCCCATCCCTGCTGTCCCAGCCATTCTGCCACCAGGCCCGAGGTACCTCCAGTCACACCAATCACTCCTACACCTAGAAATCAGCCTGGAATCAAGGGCTTCCCTCACCCATCCAGCCCCCACTGTGCTACTCAGGCTGTGGAGTCTGACAAGCCCACGTTCAAATCCCAATTCACCACTTAGGACCTGTGTCCACAGGGCCGACTTGATGTCCCAAGCTGTTGACTCCTCCCGCCAAGGTTGCTGAGGAGTGAGCGGTATGACTGCAGGCCCACCAATGAGCCCGGTGCCCTGGGTGCAGCTGGCCTAAAAGAAGGAGCAGCTATTAACAATAAAGCTGCCTCTCACCAGTCCCAAAGGAGGCAAGCCAGTCCTCTGCACACATGACACTTTCTACCTCTGTTCCTCTTCATCTTCTGTTATTTCCCAGCCTCCCCAACTGTGCTGGGGTCCCACCGAGGGCAGTCTCCAGGGTTGGCTTGTTGCCCCCAGGTGTTCCCCAAGGTAAAGTACCCAGAGGTCCCTCCATAAAAGTATCTCTGCATGTTCTTGATTGCACGGAAGTGAGGTTCAGAGCTGTCAGGGAAAGGGATGCCTTTCTAGAGAGCCACTAGGAGGCTCAGCTCTGCCTTCCTGGCCTCCTGCATCTTCCCAACCTCCGTGTCCCTCCCGCTGTGGGTCCTCACCCGCTCCTTCCTCCCGCAGACAAGCTCCAGGGAGCTCCTTTTCCTTTCCTGTTTTCCCACCAGCTGGAAGGTTCTGGGAAATTTCCAGGGGTTTCTAGACTAGTTTCAACAGGCCCGTGCACACAGAAAGTAGGAGGTAAGGAGAGCCGCCAAATCTCCTCCATCCCATCCTGGGAAGGCAAGACAGAGCCTCGCCCCAAGAAAGCGGGAGCCATTCAAGAACAACTTGGGGAGTTGCAGTTGGAGCTTGAGGCTTTGCTAGGGCCTTGGAAGTTGTTGAGAAGGCCCAGGCCCTGACAGCCGAAGGATGTCTCTCAGTCGGGGGAAGGGCACCTTCTTTTCCTGAGTCCCAGAGGAGGCAGACCCCGGGGCTCCTTGCCGGAGCCTCTGACATCCCTGCACAGGGCTAGGGAGGCCGGAGGAATCTTCCAAGCTGGCACCCAAAGCAGAGGAGATTAGGGATGGGAGGAGGAAACAGAGACTGAGAGAAGGAGGCAGGGGGCTCGGGGCTCTGGGGGTCCCTGAAGAGGAGGGAATCCCTTTGTGAGGGCGGCCTTGCGCCTTGGGAATGCTCACAGCAGCCCATTTCTTTTATTTCTTCTGTCCACAGCCACAGGGCTGCCCCTAAAAATGTTCTGCGGAGAGGGCAGCTGCAGCTGGGTCCGTGTATGCCCTTCGGAAGCATTGATGCCAGACCCCAGTTTGCTCTCGCCTTAATCCTCTGTCCATTTCTTGTTCTGAGCCAGGTCAGTCCAACTTTCCAAAATGCCCCTCCTAAAGATACGTCACTTCATCGACGCTGAGCCTAGGCCCATCTGGCCCAGGGCAGGCGCCAGGAACCGGAGGTCCCTGCTGGGTGTCCTCAGGACCGTCCTGGGGACCCAGCACTCGCCAGTGGATGAGGTAGATGCCGTCCTCTGGCTTTGGGGCTGGTGGTTCTGTGGGGAGAGCCGCATGGCCGTGGTGTAGTCTTGGCCCAAGGCGGACGGCCACCACAATACAGACTGCCAGCAGCACAAAGACAGCAACGATAGCGGTGAGCAGGGGCAGCCCGTCCCCTGGAGGGAGCTCCCGGGCTCCGCCCAGCACCTCCGGGAACTGCCACTGGGGTTCCTGGCCCGCCGAGCCGGTCGCAGCGGGAGAAGGCCAGGGGTAGCAGCCAGCCTGGGAGGGATGTGGCAGAGAGAGGGGGTGACTTGGGCATATGCACAAAGAAAACGACCAAAATAGAGAGGGACGGACACCCAAAGGGAACCGAGAAACAGCACCTCAGGAAGGGAGAGAGAGGAACAGAGACACAGAAGGAGAGAGAGAGAGAGAACAGAGAGACAGAGAAACAGAGATACACACACACATGGCAATAGAGAATAAAAGAAAAAGGCAGAGAGTAAGAGAAGAATATAAAAAGAAAAAAGAAAGAAAAGGAGATATAAGGAAAGAGACAGAAGTGAAGACAGATACAGAGAGACAGAGAGAGAGGAAAAAGAAACAGATAAGGTGATAAAGGTTGTTCAGAAAGGGACAAAGAGAGGGGCTTCACTACAGTCTGGCAGTAGAGTTTGGCCCCCAAGTCCCCTCCCACTACTCTCTCTTCCCAGGCCTCCGTCAAAACTCCTAGGTGGTCATCTGTCCTGGGTCAGCACTCACAGCACCCCAGGGGCTGCTGCCCCACATCCGGTCCAGCAGCAGCAGGCAGCTGATTCTAAAAGCCCCGGGAAAGTCATTGCATCCAGCATCTTCAGTTCTCACTAATGGACCACGGATGGGTGATATTGTGGGGGAGGGAGCGGAAGAAGAGATATGAACCCCAGAAGCTCAGGGTGAGGCAAGGGGGACACCTCACCCCATAACATCCCCCCTCAAGGTCTCAGGATCAGGTTTGGGGGTGGAGGGAGAGGGGTGCCCTGTGTGGATTGCTGGCTCTGTGCAAGACAGATGGAGGACACCCTCTGCCAGCCTCCACCTCTTTTAGGACCCCGAGTTTTCCTCCAAAACCTGGGGGCCACAGTCCTACCTCTGACCATCTCTACCCTGCTAGGTATTGAGTGGCAGTCGTGGGGTCTCAGCCTGAGGGTAGCAAACCCCCAAACTGTAAACCCAGGAGCGGGCCAGGTCACCACAGGCTCAAGGAACTTCTCCTCCCTAGCATCCCCTTTCTCAGCTGGACCCTCAGAAGCAGACTGCGGGGAGCAGCCCCTCTCCTAACCTGAGTCCCCAGCCTGGCCCCCCCATCGGTAGGCAGGTGGGGTCTAGGGAAGGCTGTCCAGGACAAAACCACTTCCTTAGGTTCCTCAGTCACACTGTCCACCCCATCCCATTCCAATACTGTCCCTTCGCGTGTGGAAAGCCCTAGACCTGCTGCACTGCTTGAAAGCCTGAGACTCTCTGGGGCCCAGGCCACAGAGCTCCCAGGCTGGGGGTGGGAAGCAGCTCCGGATGTGCAGGGGAGAAGGGAAGCCCAGGCTGGTGAAAGGCTTGGGGTCGCTGCAGGGAGTCAGGCCAGCCTGGCAGGAGGGGGTGAGAGTCTACCTGGTACATCGTCCACCCGGCGCAAGGCTCCCTCGGGACTGCTGGCCAGCAGGGCAAAGGAGAGCCTGCCACCCCAGCTGAGCCCCTACCCTGACCTGCCACGTCTATGGGGCTCACCGGGCACACACCCTCTGCACACACACCCTCTGCTCTCTCCTGCGCTTTCACTTCCGTGAACATCGGAACAACTCCGTGCCCAGCCCTTAACTCTGATAGTGCTTTAACCTTACTCCTTGGCACCTCCTTCCAAGCCCCCTGCCAGCTTCAGGAGCCTGGCTCTGCCTGCCCACCCCTCTTCTACCAGATCCCAGACAACAGGCCCCGCCCCCAACCAGGACACGCCACTCCCACCCCAACTGATTTCCTGAAGTTACTCCTTTCACTTTATTTTTAATGCAGTATCTCAAATACACTGGCAAGTGTGGACTCCAAGATAGGAAATCTCTCTGGCCCAACCACCAGCTCTGTGCATCTCAAGAGTTTCACATTTATTAAAAAAAATTTTAAGAACAAAAATATCACAAATAAAATAGAAGCTCCCCTCTGACCTTTCCCCTCCTCCCCCACCATAGGGATAACCTCTTGTTGAATGAGATTATTTTAAACTTCTTTAAAGTGTATTTTTTATTGATGTATCATTGATATACAATATTATATTGGTTTCAGATCTACAATGTAATGATTCAACAGTTATCTACATTGTTAAATGCTCACCCCAGCAATTGTATTTACCATCTGTCAACATAGAAAGACATAACAATATTGACTATATTGTCTACACTGTACTTTCATCCCCGTGACTCATCTATATTATCATTGACATTTTGTGCCTCTTTATCCCCTTCAACTATTTCACCCCACCATCCGCAGCCCCTCCCTCCTGGTAACTACCGGTCTCTTCTCTGTTTCTATGAGTCTATTTCTGTTTTGTATGTTTGTTTGGTTTTTTAGATTCCACATATAAGTGAAATCACATATTATTTGTCTTTCTCTGCCTGCTTATTGCACTTAGCATAACACCCTTTAGGTCCATCCATGTTGTTGCAAATGGCAGGATTTCTTTCTTTTTTGTGGCTGAATAATATTCCATTGTATATATATACCACCTCTTCTTTATCTTGAATGGGATGTTTATCATTCCCATGCAAGGCACTCTTTTCTCTTAGGGTTATTTTCTTCTTTGTTTTTACAAATGTGAATTTTGTATGTCTTTTTGCATTTGTCTGAGTGTTACTTCATTTGAGAATATGTGTGCTTTAATGTGTCCAGGACACAAAAAGTGCCTACCAGTTTCTCCTTTCTCTGGAGACAGTCTGTAAGAATAACTCTTGATCACAACTAACTCCATGGGACCAGCCATCCCTCATTCTGTTCCTTGCTGCACATCCTCCATTCCAGTCTCACGATCAAGAAGCCCCCAGTCACTCCCTTCACCCAGTGACTTGATCCCAGGAGGCAAGATGTGGCTTCCTGATTCCTTGTGTATCAACTAAGCTGCTCCACGCGCTGACATTCAGCATTCAGGGACCTCACTTAGGCTCAGGTCGCTGGGCTGCTTACCTGACCTGCAAAGTGAGCAGGGTCAGTGGCAGGCAGGCCGTGAAGCCCAGCGAGGAGGCTGCGCCCTTCCTGATGTGGTCAAAGGCCCTTAGTTCAAGCTGCTCCACCCAAGAATGGATCTCTCCCTCCCCCCTTGGTTTTTATCACAAATGCTCAAAATGAATTTCTGAGAACAGCATCCCTGTGGAGAAACGCTACATACACACGCACACACACACATGCACACACACACACACACACACACACACACACACACACACACTTGCCAGAAGGAACCAAATGCCCCCAAGGAAGATGACCAAGAGTGTGACGAGGGATCTGCCCCCCATCCCTGCTGTCCCAGCCATTCTGCCACCAGGCCCGAGGTACCTCCAGTCACACCAATCACTCCTACACCTAGAAATCAGCCTGGAATCAAGGGCTTCCCTCACCCATCCAGCCCCCACTGTGCTACTCAGGCTGTGGAGTCTGACAAGCCCACGTTCAAATCCCAATTCACCACTTAGGACCTGTGTCCACAGGGCCGACTTGATGTCCCAAGCTGTTGACTCCTCCCGCCAAGGTTGCTGAGGAGTGAGCGGTATGACTGCAGGCCCACCAATGAGCCCGGTGCCCTGGGTGCAGCTGGCCTAAAAGAAGGAGCAGCTATTAACAATAAAGCTGCCTCTCACCAGTCCCAAAGGAGGCAAGCCAGTCCTCTGCACACATGACACTTTCTACCTCTGTTCCTCTTCATCTTCTGTTATTTCCCAGCCTCCCCAACTGTGCTGGGGTCCCACCGAGGGCAGTCTCCAGGGTTGGCTTGTTGCCCCCAGGTGTTCCCCAAGGTAAAGTACCCAGAGGTCCCTCCATAAAAGTATCTCTGCATGTTCTTGATTGCACGGAAGTGAGGTTCAGAGCTGTCAGGGAAAGGGATGCCTTTCTAGAGAGCCACTAGGAGGCTCAGCTCTGCCTTCCTGGCCTCCTGCATCTTCCCAACCTCCGTGTCCCTCCCGCTGTGGGTCCTCACCCGCTCCTTCCTCCCGCAGACAAGCTCCAGGGAGCTCCTTTTCCTTTCCTGTTTTCCCACCAGCTGGAAGGTTCTGGGAAATTTCCAGGGGTTTCTAGACTAGTTTCAACAGGCCCGTGCACACAGAAAGTAGGAGGTAAGGAGAGCCGCCAAATCTCCTCCATCCCATCCTGGGAAGGCAAGACAGAGCCTCGCCCCAAGAAAGCGGGAGCCATTCAAGAACAACTTGGGGAGTTGCAGTTGGAGCTTGAGGCTTTGCTAGGGCCTTGGAAGTTGTTGAGAAGGCCCAGGCCCTGACAGCCGAAGGATGTCTCTCAGTCGGGGGAAGGGCACCTTCTTTTCCTGAGTCCCAGAGGAGGCAGACCCCGGGGCTCCTTGCCGGAGCCTCTGACATCCCTGCACAGGGCTAGGGAGGCCGGAGGAATCTTCCAAGCTGGCACCCAAAGCAGAGGAGATTAGGGATGGGAGGAGGAAACAGAGACTGAGAGAAGGAGGCAGGGGGCTCGGGGCTCTGGGGGTCCCTGAAGAGGAGGGAATCCCTTTGTGAGGGCGGCCTTGCGCCTTGGGAATGCTCACAGCAGCCCATTTCTTTTATTTCTTCTGTCCACAGCCACAGGGCTGCCCCTAAAAATGTTCTGCGGAGAGGGCAGCTGCAGCTGGGTCCGTGTATGCCCTTCGGAAGCATTGATGCCAGACCCCAGTTTGCTCTCGCCTTAATCCTCTGTCCATTTCTTGTTCTGAGCCAGGTCAGTCCAACTTTCCAAAATGCCCCTCCTAAAGATACGTCACTTCATCGACGCTGAGCCTAGGCCCATCTGGCCCAGGGCAGGCGCCAGGAACCGGAGGTCCCTGCTGGGTGTCCTCAGGACCGTCCTGGGGACCCAGCACTCGCCAGTGGATGAGGTAGATGCCGTCCTCTGGCTTTGGGGCTGGTGGTTCTGTGGGGAGAGCCGCATGGCCGTGGTGTAGTCTTGGCCCAAGGCGGACGGCCACCACAATACAGACTGCCAGCAGCACAAAGACAGCAACGATAGCGGTGAGCAGGGGCAGCCCGTCCCCTGGAGGGAGCTCCCGGGCTCCGCCCAGCACCTCCGGGAACTGCCACTGGGGTTCCTGGCCCGCCGAGCCGGTCGCAGCGGGAGAAGGCCAGGGGTAGCAGCCAGCCTGGGAGGGATGTGGCAGAGAGAGGGGGTGACTTGGGCATATGCACAAAGAAAACGACCAAAATAGAGAGGGACGGACACCCAAAGGGAACCGAGAAACAGCACCTCAGGAAGGGAGAGAGAGGAACAGAGACACAGAAGGAGAGAGAGAGAGAGAACAGAGAGACAGAGAAACAGAGATACACACACACATGGCAATAGAGAATAAAAGAAAAAGGCAGAGAGTAAGAGAAGAATATAAAAAGAAAAAAGAAAGAAAAGGAGATATAAGGAAAGAGACAGAAGTGAAGACAGATACAGAGAGACAGAGAGAGAGGAAAAAGAAACAGATAAGGTGATAAAGGTTGTTCAGAAAGGGACAAAGAGAGGGGCTTCACTACAGTCTGGCAGTAGAGTTTGGCCCCCAAGTCCCCTCCCACTACTCTCTCTTCCCAGGCCTCCGTCAAAACTCCTAGGTGGTCATCTGTCCTGGGTCAGCACTCACAGCACCCCAGGGGCTGCTGCCCCACATCCGGTCCAGCAGCAGCAGGCAGCTGATTCTAAAAGCCCCGGGAAAGTCATTGCATCCAGCATCTTCAGTTCTCACTAATGGACCACGGATGGGTGATATTGTGGGGGAGGGAGCGGAAGAAGAGATATGAACCCCAGAAGCTCAGGGTGAGGCAAGGGGGACACCTCACCCCATAACATCCCCCCTCAAGGTCTCAGGATCAGGTTTGGGGGTGGAGGGAGAGGGGTGCCCTGTGTGGATTGCTGGCTCTGTGCAAGACAGATGGAGGACACCCTCTGCCAGCCTCCACCTCTTTTAGGACCCCGAGTTTTCCTCCAAAACCTGGGGGCCACAGTCCTACCTCTGACCATCTCTACCCTGCTAGGTATTGAGTGGCAGTCGTGGGGTCTCAGCCTGAGGGTAGCAAACCCCCAAACTGTAAACCCAGGAGCGGGCCAGGTCACCACAGGCTCAAGGAACTTCTCCTCCCTAGCATCCCCTTTCTCAGCTGGACCCTCAGAAGCAGACTGCGGGGAGCAGCCCCTCTCCTAACCTGAGTCCCCAGCCTGGCCCCCCCATCGGTAGGCAGGTGGGGTCTAGGGAAGGCTGTCCAGGACAAAACCACTTCCTTAGGTTCCTCAGTCACACTGTCCACCCCATCCCATTCCAATACTGTCCCTTCGCGTGTGGAAAGCCCTAGACCTGCTGCACTGCTTGAAAGCCTGAGACTCTCTGGGGCCCAGGCCACAGAGCTCCCAGGCTGGGGGTGGGAAGCAGCTCCGGATGTGCAGGGGAGAAGGGAAGCCCAGGCTGGTGAAAGGCTTGGGGTCGCTGCAGGGAGTCAGGCCAGCCTGGCAGGAGGGGGTGAGAGTCTACCTGGTACATCGTCCACCCGGCGCAAGGCTCCCTCGGGACTGCTGGCCAGCAGGGCAAAGGAGAGCCTGCCACCCCAGCTGAGCCCCTACCCTGACCTGCCACGTCTATGGGGCTCACCGGGCACACACCCTCTGCACACACACCCTCTGCTCTCTCCTGCGCTTTCACTTCCGTGAACATCGGAACAACTCCGTGCCCAGCCCTTAACTCTGATAGTGCTTTAACCTTACTCCTTGGCACCTCCTTCCAAGCCCCCTGCCAGCTTCAGGAGCCTGGCTCTGCCTGCCCACCCCTCTTCTACCAGATCCCAGACAATAGGCCCCGCCCCCAACCAGGACACGCCACTCCCACCCCAACTGATTTCCTGAAGTTACTCCTTTCACTTTATTTTTAATGCAGTATCTCAAATACACTGGCAAGTGTGGACTCCAAGATAGGAAATCTCTCTGGCCCAACCACCAGCTCTGTGCATCTCAAGAGTTTCACATTTATTAAAAAAAATTTTAAGAACAAAAATATCACAAATAAAATAGAAGCTCCCCTCTGACCTTTCCCCTCCTCCCCCACCATAGGGATAACCTCTTGTTGAATGAGATTATTTTAAACTTCTTTAAAGTGTATTTTTTATTGATGTATCATTGATATACAATATTATATTGGTTTCAGATCTACAATGTAATGATTCAACAGTTATCTACATTGTTAAATGCTCACCCCAGCAATTGTATTTACCATCTGTCAACATAGAAAGACATAACAATATTGACTATATTGTCTACACTGTACTTTCATCCCCGTGACTCATCTATATTATCATTGACATTTTGTGCCTCTTTATCCCCTTCAACTATTTCACCCCACCATCCGCAGCCCCTCCCTCCTGGTAACTACCGGTCTCTTCTCTGTTTCTATGAGTCTATTTCTGTTTTGTATGTTTGTTTGGTTTTTTAGATTCCACATATAAGTGAAATCACATATTATTTGTCTTTCTCTGCCTGCTTATTGCACTTAGCATAACACCCTTTAGGTCCATCCATGTTGTTGCAAATGGCAGGATTTCTTTCTTTTTTGTGGCTGAATAATATTCCATTGTATATATATACCACCTCTTCTTTATCTTGAATGGGATGTTTATCATTCCCATGCAAGGCACTCTTTTCTCTTAGGGTTATTTTCTTCTTTGTTTTTACAAATGTGAATTTTGTATGTCTTTTTGCATTTGTCTGAGTGTTACTTCATTTGAGAATATGTGTGCTTTAATGTGTCCAGGACACAAAAAGTGCCTACCAGTTTCTCCTTTCTCTGGAGACAGTCTGTAAGGATAACTCTTGATCACAACTAACTCCATGGGACCAGCCATCCCTCATTCTGTTCCTTGCTGCACATCCTCCATTCCAGTCTCACGATCAAGAAGCCCCCAGTCACTCCCTTCACCCAGTGACTTGATCCCAGGAGGCAAGATGTGGCTTCCTGATTCCTTGTGTATCAACTAAGCTGCTCCACGCGCTGACATTCAGCATTCAGGGACCTCACTTAGGCTCAGGTCGCTGGGCTGCTTACCTGACCTGCAAAGTGAGCAGGGTCAGTGGCAGGCAGGCCGTGAAGCCCAGCGAGGAGGCTGCGCCCTTCCTGATGTGGTCAAAGGCCCTAGTCATCCTCTCCTCCTCACCTTGGTTTGCTTAGACCTCAGCCGAAGGGAATCTGGATTCTGCCACAGTCCAGGGCTTCAGCCACTGCTGTTTGCCTCCTGCCTCCTTGAGACGCACATCCCATCACTCTCACAGGTACTACCTCTGGGGCTCCAGTCCCTGAGTCTAAAAGTCCAGTTTCTGAAACTTCTGATGGCTAATTCTTCTCTTTCCATCCCTCATCAATCCTGGATCTATCTCCTGAAGGGCTTCAGAAAGATAAGGGGGGTGGAACTTCCAGGGCCGGGCTACTGTCCCAGCCTTCTCTCACTTTTCCATCTCCATGCTCACTGTTGTGAGCTACTCATCCCCCATTCCTACCTTTTAAACCTTAACCATCTTTTATGGCTTAGTTCAAGTGTCACCTCGTTCAGGAATGTATTCTTCAGGTTGCTATATGGAAGTAGCTTTCTTTTCCTTAAACCCTATAGTGGTGTTTCCCACCTTGCTCCTGACGTTTGTCACACTTTGTCTTATGTTACAGGTGTGTGGGAGCTCCCTTTTCTTCCTACTCTTCAAACCCTGCAGGACATTCCTGTCTGTGTCCCAAGGTCTATACAGTGCCAGGTACTATAGCAGATGTAGGACAAAAAAGTTTGCTGAATAAAACCAGGACATTGCAGACTACCTGCCCCCCTCCACCCCCTGTCCTGGAGGCTTGCAAGCAGCCATCGTTCACGCCGGGAGGGCTCTTCTGAGCCACTGGAGTGCTCACAGACTCACCCCTCTGTCTCTTTTTGTTGTCATGGAGCCTGTCAGATGGTTTCTAAACTGATCAAGAATCTGCTCTTATTTCACAGAGAAGAAGAGCCCTGGCTTTCGAGGTCTGAGCACTGGAACCAAAGATGAAAAGAGTCTGGAGGCCCCCGACTCAGTTTTGCACAGGGGGTCACTTCTGTTTTCCAGTTCCCGGGGAGGTGGAAGTGGTCTTGTGGGCCTAAGGAAGAAAAGCAGCAGCCTTTCTTCCTTCACTGTCCCCACTGAAGGAAGGCAGGGTTAGAAGTCAGCAGAAGGAGCTGAAGGAGGGGGACTCGTCACGAGGCATTCGGAGCAGGCGAGCGGGACAGCGCCATGACGGGGGTGGGGGAAACCTGGCTGCCTCCAGGACTCACTCCAGCTCTGGGTCACTGGGGGTAAGACAAGAGCAGGGCAGCCCACCTCTTCACGCCCTACTTCCAGCCTTCTTATTAAAAGCTAGAGGTCTGTAAGGGTGTATGATATTTGTGAAGTAATGAAAATGTTCTAAAATTGATTTTGGTGATGGCTGCACAGGGTTCTGAATATACTAAAAGCCACTGAATTGTACACTTTAAATGAGTAAATTTTATAGCATGCATCTTAGTCTGTTCACGCTGCTATACAAAAATACCATAAATACCACTGAGCTTATAAACAACAAAAATTCATTTCTCACAGTTCTGGAGGCTGAGAAGTTCATGATCAAAATGCCAGATTTGGTGTCCAGCAAGCCCACTTCCAGATTCACAGATGGTGACTTCTCGTTGTGTCCTCACACGGCAGAAGGGGCAAGCTTGCTCCCTGGGGTCCTTTATTTTTTATTTTATTTATTTATTTTGGTATCATTAATCTACAATTCCATGAGGAATATTATGTTTACTAGACTCCCCCTGGGGTCCTTTTTATAAGGACACTGATCCCAATCATCAGGGCTCTCCTCTCATGACCTAATCACCTCCCAAAGGTCCAGCCTCCTAATGCCATCACCTGTGAATGTACCTTACTTGAAAAAAGTGTCTATGCAGATCTAACTAAGTTAAGAACTTGGGGATGTGGAGGTCATTCTGTATTATCCACATGGGCACTAGATTCAGTGACAAGTGTCCTTATAAGAGACACACAGAGGAGAAGACACAGAAGGAGATGTGAAGACAGAGGCAGAGATTGTAGTGATGTGGCTACAAGCCAAGGAATGCCCAACAGCCAGCAGAAGCTGGAAGAGGTAAGGAATGGCTACTCCCCTAGACCCTGTGGAGGGACTGTGGTCCTGCCAACACCCTGATTTTGACTTCTGGTCTCCAGAGCCATAAAAGCATAAATTGCCATCTTTATAAGCCACTAGTTTATAGTAATTTGTTACAGCAGCTCTATGATACTAATACACTAGCAGATACCACCTTAAGCGAGTGATCAAGTGAACATCCTCAGTAAGGGAACAAATCAAAATCATGCACCAGTTGATAAAGGCAAAGACAAGGTCATACACCCTAAATCTAATCAAAGGGAAACATCAGACAAACCCAAATGAGGGATACTGCAAAATAACTGGATGGTAACCTTCAAAATAAGGTCATAAAAGTCCAGGAAAGACAGAGGAACTGTGCCAGGTTGAAGGGGACTAAAGAGACATGCAGTGAGTAATTCTGGACTGGACTCTTGTTCTGAAGGACATTATTAGGACAATTGTCAAGATCTGAAAGAAATCTGAGGATTAGATATTAATATATCAAGATTAATTTCTCAACCTTGATGGCTACATTGTGATTATGAAGGAGACTGTCTTTGTTTTGTTTGTAGAAAGTATACACTAAAATATTCAGGGGGGATGGGGCAATTTACTCAAGTGGGTCAAGGAAAAAATGTTCTGTGTAGTGTACTTCGAACTTTTCTGTACATTTGTGATGCTTCAAAATATAATATTAATTAAAAAAATAAAAAATAAGAGAAAGTCATATAATGATTGCAAATATATGAGCACATTGTCACAGGCTGGAGGGCACAGACTGGGAGGAAATCCACAACAATAAAATTCTACTCCCTGCTCTTAAATCTTTTTATTTAGTTTGGCAAGTCTGTACGGAGGACCTGCAGTATGTCAGGCATTGAAGTGGCAACGTGGTCTGTGTCTGCAGCAGAGTACCAGTACAGTAGGACTTGTGTTGGGTGGATGCCCAGGGGACACCTGACCCTGTGAAGGGAAGGGAGGGAGATTCCAAGAACGTGCTCTTGTTTTTTGGTTAAGATTAACGATAATGTTTGTAAGGCTTCCCTGAAAGATGCTGGGAATCCCATCTGCATTGGGAGCCCTGATGGCGGAGAGTTCAGTCCACAGAGCGTGGGCAGTGGTGGTAGGCAGAACCCCAGGGCTCAGTCATGGGAGAGGAGGACCTGGTGGGACAGTACAGGAAGCGAGTGGAGTTTGACTCCAGGGAAACTTCCGGGTGGTGGTGGCGGGGGGACCTGGCCCTTCGAAGAGGAAGAGAGGCGCTTGGGGACAGGCCGCCACCACTGGTATCTGTGCCCAGGCCCTGGAGGAGACCACAGTGGCTGTGGCCCAGGCCACGCGGAGCCCGGTGCCTTCGCTGCTCCTTCAGCCCTTACATCCTCATCTGTGCTGCCTGCTGAGCAGGGCCCCTGGAGCCGGTCCCAATCTGTTTCCTTCTATTCTTTAACAGGAAGCTCCTGGGGAGCCGGCCCCCGCCCCCACCCGCCCCAGCACTCCCTCTCTCCGCTCCACTATGGACAGAGCTACGGCGGGGCCGCTGCCTCCTCTCGCAGGCGCGGCCGCCATGGGGACCGGCAGAGCGGTGCAGCTGTGCTGGGCGATCCTGGGCTTCCTCCTGCTCCGAGGTAAGCAGCACCTGCCCCTGTCCTGCAGCGGTTCCTCTCCCTGGGCGGCCCGCCCTCTCCGGGTCACACGCTCACCATCCAGAGCTGTGGGAAACCCCAGAGCCCTTTCAAGAGGGGGATCAGATGGAATGGGATGCGGTCATTCCCAGGCAAGGGTGAAATAGAGATATGGTTAAACCCTTTCATGGAAAATTTCCAGGGAGAACTGGGGTCTCCATAGAGGCTGGCCTCCTGAAACGTGGCAAGTGACTGTCTTGGTGTGAGTGCAGCCAGCAAGCTCCTTTCTGGGTGTTCTAGCACAAAATTGGCTGCATTTTGGGCTTTACAGGTGATTTTTTTTTATTCTTTCATATGAGGAGCAACAATCTGGGAATACCAAATATTGACTTTAAGCTCAAATCACAACAAGAAGGACTCAGATTAGATACAAAGAACCTTGGTATCTGCCAAAGAGGATGTACACAACCGTCCTCACGCAGGGGCCCGGAGGAGATGATCTGGAAACAGCACCTCTCAGATGGGCTCTGCTAGCTGATGGGTCTTGAAGCAGCTTCTGAGGGGTCCTCTAATTAGGCAGCAGTTGCTGGGAACCATGAGAAATCCAGGAGATTCTGACTCACAGGGCAGCAACTTCCCTTCGGTCGTCCCTTCCTCGCCCTCTCCCCCTCCCTGAGCCCTCCGTGGGAGATGTAGGAGCCTGTGCTAGGTGTGGTGCAAGAGACCAGGAAGAGTGCTCAGATGGGAGGCAGGAGGGCCCTTCCTCGGTGGCGGTGCGAGGACCTGAGTAGCACAACACTCTGCCTTTCTCTAAAAGCCCGTGGGCTGCAGGTAAAACTCTGATGACCCACATCTTCCCCCCTACCCCCCAGGATAGAGCTGCATGTTTGGTGTGGGCCTGGGGGACTAGGCTGTTGTAGAAACCACAGAAATGGCAGCGGAGACTAAAAGGTGACACTTATAAGGTGGTATTTTCACAGGTCCAGGCTTCTCCCAGCTTCCCTACCCACTGTCCTGTCTCAGGCAAGTGCCAGAGCTAGGAAGGCCCCAGGGAAATTCTCCCTAAGCCACACTCACCTCTTGACTTTCCTAACCTTGCATCCCAAGATCTCAGAGCACTTACCGCCCCCTCCATTTGGTGGACAGAGCAATCCTTTTGGGGATATTCAGGCCCACAGAGGGACTTGGCTGTGGGTACACAGAGCCTGGGCAGACTTGAGATTTGAAGGATTTGAAAGAATGGGGCAAAAGTACAAATGTCTAGCATTTATTGAGCATGGCCTATCTGTCAGGCACCATGTTCAGTGCTTTATAAGCACTTCATATCCTCACGATGACTTATGAGGTAGCAAAATCACTTGCATTTAAAAAAAAAATGGAGGCCCAGGTCAGACTAAGTGATCTTGAGTCAGAACTTGAACTCAAGCCTCACTGACTCCCAAATTCATGATTTTAACTACTAAACTATGCTGCTGTGGAAAACAGAGTGGTGGTAGGAGGGGACGGAGAGAAAGGCTGCAATGAAGCAGGTCGGGATCGGGGAGGGGCTGCAGGAAAGTAAGAAATCCCTGTGGCCGATGCTCTTTGTCCTTCGCGTGACCACCGGCCCAGAGATCAGAGGCACCCTGGTCTGCAGAAACTGATGCTCCGTAAGTCCCTCCTCTAGCACAAAACCCTACCAGTGACAAAAAGTTCTGGTAAGAGGAAGGGGCAGGAGACAAAGAGTGAATAGGCTACCGGGACTTGGAGACTGACTCTGGAACTCCTTCCCAGACACTAGTTTTATTTCTATACAAAGTGCCCTTCCACTAAAGGCTAAAGTTATAACCTAATAGAGCTTAGACAGTTCGTTAAATATGCTTCATTCTTAACTGACAGACATCTTCAGGACGCGTCTTGGATGGAAAGAGTTCTCCCAGGGTTCTCTCCAGCTGGGAAGAGTTCTCTCTAGCCTGGGGCACCTCAAGTTTTAACCCCCGTCGTGGCACCCCACCCAATAAAGGGACAGAGCTATCAAATATGGTGACCTAGAAAAACGGCCACGGTTTGGGCAAGCTTGGGCTTGGAAACAATTAACTACACACTATCCAAGTGATAGCCCCATGGAGGAAGGCAGTGGCTAAGGAAAATAAACAGCCCGGCAGGCTGCCACAGGCTGGGCAGGCCCCTGACCCCCAGTGGCCTCTGTTCACCCAGGCTGGGACCGGGCGCGTCCCTGATGACGAGGGGCCGAGGGCAGCATGAGGGCCAGGCTCGGGGCTGCAGGCCCAGCCCGACAAGCAGAGGGACGGAACCCAGTGGGGCGGCTCCACTTCCCCACGTTGTTTTCCTTTCACATTGTTCACAGGTTTCAGGAATGATTTCATTGTGGAAAATGAGCAAACACAACCTGACCTTTCAGGTCACACACACACAGGGGACACATATATGGGCACACAAGCACACACACACATCGGCACAGAGGCTCACAGGCATATGCGTGCACATCTGAAAAAGCTAATGGGTCTTCTGACTGGAGCCTCCTGGGAGCTGACTTGTCTCTGGGTTTGTCCAACAACTATTTCTGAAGTACCTCCGCCTGTAAGAGTAAACTGGTCACTAGCTGTAGAGCTTCCCTGCCTGCTGTATGTCCTGCAGAACTTGCCTCCTGTGTAGGCCCCTAACTCCAGCCCAGGTACCAACTGCCAAGCCTAATCCATAACCCCATCTATTCACCACATTGTCCACCCACTTTCCTTGGGGCAGGGCCAGGATGACTGTATTCACAGGCGGAAATGGATGGCTCAGTGGTGTAGTGAGAGTGTAGCCTAGAGCCCTGGAGCCCTGGGTACGTGTCTAGATGGTGGCAGGTCACTGGTCCTCTGTCCTTGGACATATCACTTGTTTGAAAGAACCTTCTGTGACCTTGTGTCAGGTTGGCATAAAACCTATGTGGGATTGAAGAGACAAGAAAGGACTCTGGGACACACAAGGTGGTAGTGATGGTGCTACTGAGTCACAGTCTCGGGAAGCCAGCACCGCAGGCTGGCGCCACATCCTTCAGCCCTCGGCCGAGTGTGTCTGCTTTCCCACCGGGGAGGCTCGGAAAGCCAAAAGGCCTGGGTTCTTCTATGGGCTCTGTGCTGGGCAAGGACCTCCCAAGATGGTCGACGTACTTTGCTTTCTCTTGCAGGCCACGAATGCACAGTGCAGCCCTCCAGCCCTCAGGGTAAGACCAAGCACACACGGCCTACTCGGGCATTTAGGCCTGGGGCCCGAGGAAGGGCAGCAGGAGCTCTGGGCCTGTTTTCCAGTGACCTCAGGTGATTAGGGCCGAGGCCAGAGCATTGCGGACATCTGGGCAAGCTCCTCTATGGACTTTTTTTAGAGTGGCCGAGTCCAACATGCCTTAGAAGAGGAGAGAGACGAGTGGTTGGGGGTAGAAGGCGGTAGGGAGAAAGACTATAGCAGCTATAGGGATGAAGAGAGGGAGACAGAGCACCTGTAGCCCCGGATGGTCTGTTACAGTAGCCTTCAGTCATCTAAACCTGACCACACAGTCAAGTTCTCCCTACACAGCTGAGTGAATGTGGTTGCCAAGCTGCCAGTCCTGGCCCCTGCCCAGCCCTTCAGACCTGCTTGCAGTCCAAGTGTTCGCAAATGGGGGGATGACTGTGAGGTCACCAAACCTGACCCCCCTCCAGCTCGCCGTCTACCTCTGTCCTTGCAGGAGACAGGCTGTCCTCAGAGCCCAGCAGCCCAAGCCCTCTGCCCAACGCCAGCACCCCAGGTACTCGGCTGCTCAGACCATGCCATCCAGGGAGGGCGCGGTGAGGAAGCAGATAGTTTCTGCTCTAAAGGAGAACACGGACCAGTTTCTGCTCTAAAGGAGAACACGGACCAGTGGGGCAGTGGGGGAAGTCAAGTGAGCAGGGCCTCACTGGCAATAGCAAAGCAGGGTGGGCAGGGCTGTGGTGGGATTAAGGACAAGGTGCCCTCAGAGCCCGGATAAACTGCAGCCACTTCAGACTTGGGGACCAGGGAAGACATCCCAGAGTGAGTGACCTCTTAAGCAGAGGCCCAAGAAGGAGTTAGCCAGGTGAGGACTGTGGGCAGAGGGCGGCAGGGCATATTCCAGGCAGACGGAGCTGCACAGGTTGAGGCCCAGAGGTGAAAGAGAGGATGGCTGCTGCTGCAATCGAAAGCAGTAAAGAAAAGGAGGATTGGTGACTAACGGGCCCTCCCAGTGGACATGCTGGCTGAGGCCCTAAACAGGCCCATGCGTGTTTCCTAATCCACAGCACCTCCAGAGATAGCCTCACAGGTCCCCACGGTAGCCAGTAAACCCATGGCCCTAAGGCCAGGCACCGTGCCTGGGCACTCCCCGCCCCGGCTAGGCCAGACTCGGCCCCAGCTACAGAAGCACGCACGTGCACGGTGGGCACCTGGGGCATGTCTGGCTGGGTCCCTTCTTCCTCTCCTCAGCGGACCCATGGCCTGCCCCACAGGGAGTGGTCTCAAGGCCAGGACCCCTGTCAGCAGCACCCCAGTTTGGGAGAGGACGAGAGAGCTGGTGGGGAGCAGAGACAGGGGCTTGGGCCTGTCTCACTGAAGGTGAGAGGAGCCGGGCCTCAGGACTGATAGAGGCACAGAGGGGACAGGCAGGAGCAGCAGAACGCAAAGTGACGGAAAGGGAGGCAGGGAAGGCTGGGAAAGGGCTGCACACTCCGCAGGGCAGTTGGCCTTCTCCCAGCAGCGTGGGAGAAGGGGCAGGCGGGCCCGCCCACCCTCCACCTTGGCCCGCTGTTGGGTGGAGCAGGCCCAGGTGTCCCAAGCCATGGCGGCAGCAGTGGTGGCACTAGGGGAGGTCCGCCCTGTTCTCCCCCTTTCTCTCACCCCACTCCTTGGCCCAGGCGTTTTTTACTCCAGAGGTGAAAGAGAGGATGGCTGCTGCTGCAATCGAAAGCAGTAAAGAAAAGGAGGATTGGTGACTAACGGGCCCTCCCAGTGGACATGCTGGCTGAGGCCCTAAACAGGCCCATGCGTGTTTCCTAATCCACAGCACCTCCAGAGATAGCCTCACAGGTCCCCACGGTAGCCAGTAAACCCATGGCCCTAAGGCCAGGCACCGTGCCTGGGCACTCCCCGCCCCGGCTAGGCCAGACTCGGCCCCAGCTACAGAAGCACGCACGTGCACGGTGGGCACCTGGGGCATGTCTGGCTGGGTCCCTTCTTCCTCTCCTCAGCGGACCCATGGCCTGCCCCACAGGGAGTGGTCTCAAGGCCAGGACCCCTGTCAGCAGCACCCCAGTTTGGGAGAGGACGAGAGAGCTGGTGGGGAGCAGAGACAGGGGCTTGGGCCTGTCTCACTGAAGGTGAGAGGAGCCGGGCCTCAGGACTGATAGAGGCACAGAGGGGACAGGCAGGAGCAGCAGAACGCAAAGTGACGGAAAGGGAGGCAGGGAAGGCTGGGAAAGGGCTGCACACTCCGCAGGGCAGTTGGCCTTCTCCCAGCAGCGTGGGAGAAGGGGCAGGCGGGCCCGCCCACCCTCCACCTTGGCCCGCTGTTGGGTGGAGCAGGCCCAGGTGTCCCAAGCCATGGCGGCAGCAGTGGTGGCACTAGGGGAGGTCCGCCCTGTTCTCCCCCTTTCTCTCACCCCACTCCTTGGCCCAGGCGTTTTTTACACTCCCAGACATGAGGTGGGCAGGGGGTGGGCGTGAAGGGAAGCAATGGAACAGCGATCGGGCCTGCAGTGCAGTGAGTTGAAGAGGGGACGAGATGGGTGGCTGTACCACTTCTAACAGGGCCGGAAACGTGTGCCCCTTGACTGGCAGCCTGGCTTGTTTGATCAGGGCCTGGGCACAACCATCCGGTGCCCTTCTTTCCTCCTACTTCAACCCCTGGCTAAACATTGACGGCTCTACCTTGACCCATCTGGCCCCCTCTCTCTGCAGCACAAATGCCTTTCCTCTAGGAAAAGGGGCCCTAGGGGATGGTGGGAAGAGCATAATGAGGGAAGCATCCTGACCTTTCTGGAGTCCCCTGGAACCAGTAACACGAGCAACCAGCAGTGCCATCCCTGTGCCCCCACATCACCCTGTTCCGCCTCCATCCTCACAGGATCTGGCCGAGTGGCAGGGAGGAAGTCTTTTTTGTTGGGCACACACTCTCTGTAGTCCCCTACCCGAGGACGGTGGGAGGGCAGCTAGCCAGGCCCTTCGCTGATGCACCCACCCCCACTCCATTGTAGACACTTTTCAAAATGTTACTCCTAACTCAGCCACCATGAGCCTGAGGACAAGAGAAGACCCAGCCATCCTGCCCAGCCCCACATCAGAGACAGTGCTCACTGTGGCCGCATTTGGTGAGAGGGAGGGGAAGGGGGGACGTGACAGGGCACCCCATCCTGCCCTGACCTGGACTCTGGGTCTGGAAACACAAGTTCAAATCTCACTCATTCATTCTAGAGGGTTTGGCTGATGAAGAAGCCCTGGTGGGGAGGAGCTTCCACTGACCCCCGTCAGCTCCTTTGGGCTCTGCTGGGTCCCGTGTTCTCATGGGGGATGGGGCAGGGCTGGGGAGCCCACTCAGGCCAGGCTGAGAGCGCCTTCATCCGGCAGAAAAGGGGAATTCACTTTGTTCCCTGTCTGCACAGCATGTGGCTGAGTGGGGGATTTGGACCCCTACTGCCCCCTTTGGCCAGCCCCCCTTCGCCCTGTCCTTTCCCCGCTCAGGTGTCATCAGCTTCATTGCCATCCTGGTGGTCGTGGTGATCGTCCTAGTTAGTGTGGTCAGTCTAAGGTTTAAGTGTCGGAAGAACAAGGAGTCTGAAGGTACATGCCCTGACCCTCAGGGCCCCATTTTGCCCCTCTGAGGGACCCACAGCTAGATTCTGGGACTGACACCCAGGCTGGAGTTGAGGGAAGGAATGGCACCCCCCTAAGTGAAATGGGAAGGTCCACTTGGGTGGGCTTTGAGGGGCAGGTTGGGTTTCTGAGTTACAGTATATGACCCCAATCTGTGCCTTTGGATTTTTACAGATCCCCAGAAACCTGGGAGTTCAGGGGTATCTGAAAGGTAAGACTGTCAGAAGGGTAAGGAAGGAATCACCTAGCTGAGCCCTCAGTCGTCTACTCCAAGAGGGACCCAGTACTGCCTGCCTCCTCCACACACACACACACACACATAGATGCACACACATGCACGCACACACAGAATCCTGACAGCCTCCACTGAGGCCAGGGCTAGGGGTGGGTAGGACAGGGCTGGGCCTGAAAAATCAGGTGTTGGGAGAAGGCAGGAACTCCTCAGCCCAGAACTAAGCCTCTATAACCCCTTTATGAAATGGCCAGGAATTTAGATTCTGCTATACCCCTTAAATAAGAAGATATTTATTTAAGGAATCACTTAGTCAATATCTTGAATGTGCCAAGCTCCGTGGTAGATATTTTTAAATATTATTTCATCCTGCCCTGACCTGGACTCTGGGTCTGGAAACACAAGTTCAAATCTCACTCATTCATTCTAGAGGGTTTGGCTGATGAAGAAGCCCTGGTGGGGAGGAGCTTCCACTGACCCCCGTCAGCTCCTTTGGGCTCTGCTGGGTCCCGTGTTCTCATGGGGGATGGGGCAGGGCTGGGGAGCCCACTCAGGCCAGGCTGAGAGCGCCTTCATCCGGCAGAAAAGGGGAATTCACTTTGTTCCCTGTCTGCACAGCATGTGGCTGAGTGGGGGATTTGGACCCCTACTGCCCCCTTTGGCCAGCCCCCCTTCGCCCTGTCCTTTCCCCGCTCAGGTGTCATCAGCTTCATTGCCATCCTGGTGGTCGTGGTGATCGTCCTAGTTAGTGTGGTCAGTCTAAGGTTTAAGTGTCGGAAGAACAAGGAGTCTGAAGGTACATGCCCTGACCCTCAGGGCCCCATTTTGCCCCTCTGAGGGACCCACAGCTAGATTCTGGGACTGACACCCAGGCTGGAGTTGAGGGAAGGAATGGCACCCCCCTAAGTGAAATGGGAAGGTCCACTTGGGTGGGCTTTGAGGGGCAGGTTGGGTTTCTGAGTTACAGTATATGACCCCAATCTGTGCCTTTGGATTTTTACAGATCCCCAGAAACCTGGGAGTTCAGGGGTATCTGAAAGGTAAGACTGTCAGAAGGGTAAGGAAGGAATCACCTAGCTGAGCCCTCAGTCGTCTACTCCAAGAGGGACCCAGTACTGCCTGCCTCCTCCACACACACACACACACACATAGATGCACACACATGCACGCACACACAGAATCCTGACAGCCTCCACTGAGGCCAGGGCTAGGGGTGGGTAGGACAGGGCTGGGCCTGAAAAATCAGGTGTTGGGAGAAGGCAGGAACTCCTCAGCCCAGAACTAAGCCTCTATAACCCCTTTATGAAATGGCCAGGAATTTAGATTCTGCTATACCCCTTAAATAAGAAGATATTTATTTAAGGAATCACTTAGTCAATATCTTGAATGTGCCAAGCTCCGTGGTAGATATTTTTAAATATTATTTCAAATCATTAGAGCAGTTCTTTAAGGCAGATATTACTGCATTTTATACATTAAAAAAAAAGAAAGAGACTTAAAAGAGAGGTTGTAACTTGGTCAATATCACACAAATAGCAGGTAGGAAAACTAAGATTCAAATACATGTCCTCTGAGCTGCAAAGCAGTCTCATTTCATTTGGTCCACCACCAAAATACAGGTTTATCCAAACAAAGGTCTAAGTTTGAACAATCCCCCCGTCCTTTGACCCCTACCCTGCCCACCCCTGCTCCTCCCGTCTATACCCATGTTTCCTTCCTACCCCCAGCTGCTCCACAGCCAATGGAGAGAAAGACAGCATCACCCTCATCTCCATGAAGAATATCAACATGAACAACAGCAAAGGATGCCCCACAGCAGAGAAGGTGCCTTTTTCCTTGTTCCTTCTTCTCTCCCGCCTTCTCTTTCTACCTCTAGGTCCTAGTTCGTGAATCAAAGATTCTCCCATATTCTCTCCTCTTCCCTACCCCACCACTCCCAAGAAATTCACCCTTTTTCATCATGTATTTTATTTTGCAGGTTCTTTAAAAGCAACCTTGGTTCCTCATGGGTCTGAGGATGATGCAGCTGCTCTGTGACTATAAGGAGGAACTGGATGGCGTTGGTAGAAGCAATGAACCACATATAAATTATTTATACTGTTTCACATCTACTCCCAGGTCTAAAGGATATGAGCCTTCCTCCAGATCTGGGAGCAGGCTACCAGTCTGACAGACTCTTTCCATGACCTGCTCTTCCCACCTTCTCAAGGTCACAGGAAGGAGGAATCTGTAGAGCCAAAGCAAGGAAAGTGACAGAGTGGATTGGTCCTTTCTTCTTGGCATTAAAATTATTTTCTGGTCTGCCGTCTAATTTCTTTTAAGGTCTATGCCCCCCATACACATTTCTTAATAGAATGTTCTAGCAGTTTTGGAGCTTTCTAGGCAAGGCATGTATGCAAGTTTCTGCCCCTGTGGCGAGCTCATTGAGAAGCCTGGGAGGTGGAATTTTTGTTAGGTTGCCTCAGTTTACCTGGTTTATTAAGTAGGGATGAGATGACTGACTAACCACTCCAATAGAGAGGAGAGAAAAGGAGCTGTAAACAGTGACCAGTTATTACCAGTAAAGAAGTTAAAGTCTGGAGAGTGAAAACATGGGGGGCACAGCCCCCTCTAACTAGGAAACTCCAGTGGTGAGAGCTGAATAACCTGAGGGCCATTGTCCTCTGAGGCAGGCATGCGTCACTTTGCTCCTGGCTGCAGGAACAAGACTGGGAAGGTCTGGAGTGGGGATGGGTCTGTGACTTCATAGACCAAAAACCCACCCACTTTACCTCAGACAGATACCGTCTTTGTGTCCTAGAAATAGAATAAAGGATTGCAAATATTGTCAAGTCATTTTAAGAGAAGGAGGAAAAGAAAGCAGTTACCTGTTTTCTTCGAAATCTCTGCCTGACTGCTTTGGAAATGAATCTTGCTAGTGGGGAGTCAATGGAAGTCATCTGTGCACGTCTGCATGGAGTGCTAACTTTATAAGCATCTGTCAGTTGACAGTTTAAAACACAGAACATGGATTACCTATTCTGAAGCCACAAAATGCTATTTTCTTCTGGACTGTGACTGTGCTAGGCGATATAAGAAAGCAAGCCTAGAATAAAATGTTTCACTTTGTCTCATGGAAAGTATTCAAGAGGACTGAAGAAGCAAGCCTACTGGATTCTGAAATCCTCTAGGGCTGGGCCTCTAACCTGCTCATGTCTCTACCTCTTATGTGGTGCTCTGTGCCTGGCATATCAGAGGTTAGGTAAACTGGTTGTGAGTGCAGGAAATCTAGTCACAAGGCTGGGCTGTGCCACTGACTTGCAGCTTGACTTTGCTGAAATCACTCCCCACTTCCCAGCCTGTTTTCTTACTTTTAAAGTGAGGTGGCTGGACTAGCTGGCCTTCTCTTCTGGTTCTTATATTCCACAGTTCTATAAAGTCTAGATGTAGAAAAGAATGAACCATCTTTTGAGTAGAGATCACTCTAGGTGGGAGCCAGACACAAGTCTTAAGTGACTCTGGGCAAGTCTTTCACCTTCTCTGGACCTAGATTTCCCTGTGTATTAGTGAGGAATAAGGGAAGAATGATCCCTACCGGCCTGTCTACCTCACAGGCTAGTTGGTAGATAAAATAGAATAGTAAATGTGGAGATGCATAGGAAGTAAAAGTCCTCGTAGGCAACTGGAGCAGACGACACGGAGCACCACCGCCAGGTGCCACTTCAGGATCAAGGCCGTTGTGGCCCCAGCTGCTGGTTGATGACTGGGTGATGGGAGTTGGGGTGATGACCTGGACCTCTGGCCCCAGTTTCTTTCTCTGTCCAATCCTACTTCCCTTACTCCTCCTAGCTGTTGTTCCCAGAAACACTCACCAGTAAACCTCCAGGATGCAAATCTGAGTCTCAGAGCCTTCCTCTGGAGTACTCAGCCTATGACAGCAATACTATAGCATTAAAAAACAAAAACTGCAACATTAAAAAAAAATTCAGACGTATCTTATTAAAGCTACACTGCAAAAAACACACAACTTCCCAACCAGTTTCAGTTCAAAAACCCATCACTGGGGTAGGTAGAACCCTCCAGATGACATAACAATGTCTAGAAGTACTGAATTCTGTTTGAATTGTTATTGCTATTCTGGCTGCCATGGGCAGTTAATTCAGCTGCTTATCACACTGACTAATGGAGTCAAGGACTGGGTTTCACTCCAGGTAACTCAGCTGACATCTCCATTCAAGGCCACAAGCTTCTCCCTGACTCTGGACAATGTCCTACAAATATGAGCTTTTAGTCATAAGGTATTTTTAAGTGGGGGAGAGGGTTTGAACTGGTATTGATATGAGACTGAAAGGCTTTTACCCTGAAACTGACACTGTAGTATGAATTAGCCATGTTGATTTTCCTGTTGCTAAGTAACTCCTTTGAGAAGAGGCTGAGGAGGAATTCACTTAATGATGAATTCTGCTCTCTAGCAAACTATATTAGAGGGGATTCTGCTAGAGGATCGTACTATTTACACAAATACAAGTCCCCGCCTCTCAGAGGAAATCCAAATGCAGCCTTCTGCAGCCCCTGCAGCTTCCCTGAGACTGTATCTCTTCCTTGATGTCTAGACAACAGGATGGTGGCCATTTACAAGGCAGCTTCCTTCCTCTTCTTAACACAGGACTACAAGGCCCCTAAGCAGGAACAGGTGGCTGGGGAGGGTAGTTTCTGTACAGTGTCCTCTGGCTTCTTTCCCCATCTGATGGGAGGGCAACCAACAAACCAGCTCAGACACACAGGCGTGGATGGACAGAGGGATCATTTATGCAGCATCTTTCTGCCAGGGCTGAATGGGGTGGTATCTAAATCATACAAGGCATGTGGCAAATCTCAGTATCACCAGCCAAAATTCACAACAGTTTAACAACTATTTCTAAAAGTGAGCAGAGAAATCTGATAGAAATCTGAGGCTGGCTCTAGGTAAATAATTTAGCAGATGAAGAATCGCTGCAAACCCCCTTGGCCTGGGTCTTGTACACCATTTCCCAAAGCCGGGCTAGTACTATTCAATTCGATCTGAGTTTGCTGGAAAACATTGTGTGGCTCTGTCTGTCCCTGGATCTGTGGAAGTCCTTTCTTACCTCTTTGAACTTCTTTCTACATATACCTCCTTCTCTTTGAGAACTGCCTTAGAGACCCCAGCTTATCTGCTCTTATTTCCTTCCCAGGCGCTCTCTCCCGCTTCCTGATGGTTACTTTCCCCCTGGCACCTCTATCCTGAGCCCTTAGAGCCCACGGCTTCCCCTTCTATCAAACACAATTGAATTTGACAGTAGGAATTATTTTTGTTGAGAGGTCGGTATACCTAAACAAAACTGGCATAGAAGCATTCTAAATTGAGGTTTGGAGTTCTAAATTAGTCCTTCTGAAACAATCATAGAAAAATTCATCCGGAAGTGCTAAATGAGGTATGAATGAGCTGAAGGGCACATTTGCAGGGCAGTATATGAGAAGATTACAATGCCGAACCTTCGTTACTGATCTGGGCGTAAATGAGTTATCTAGAAAAGAAGGGGGAAGCGAGGCTTCAGAGGATGACGGGAAAGGTTGTTGAGGTACCAAACTTTTCCAAGAGGCCCCAGCTTCCCAAATCTTCTCCGGCATTCTTGAACCTGGACTCTACTCCTAAGTAGCCTAATTCACAGTACTCCTTACCAGTGTAACTACCCTGACCCCCACCCCACCCCACCCCATGAACACAGTGCTCCAGCAAGTCCACTCTCAACCAGTACACCAACTTCATGGTACTTCGACATCTCTGAGTACCTCCCGACCTTGGCCCTGAGTCCTGGACTCTAGGGCACACTCTACCTTCCCCTGTCCATCTTCTAGAGCAGTCTGTCTAGTCTCCAAAAACCAAAAAACTTCATTCTTATATTAAACCACCTAATAGATGTCCCTGATGAGTCCCTTGTCCGCAGAGCCCAAGGGGCTTCCCTCAGGACCCAGCCTTCTGGGAGCACACTGATGCTCATATACCCCAGGGTCATGACTGCAGGGGCAGGAGGGCACTGCATAGCCAGGGCGGCGTCTACCCTTTCAGAACATCTCTTCATCCCGCCCCACCCCAACTTCCCAAGTGGCTGTTGCCGGACATCATAATTGGCCTATTTGATTTGGTCTTCCCGGGTAAGATCTCAATGAATCCCAAGACATTTTTTGTTTGGGGATGAACAGAATCATTTTTCACTTTTGCAGACCTGATCTTTGGCCATCCCAGCTCACCTGCGGGTGAGTCAGGAAGGACACTAACAGCACTGTCCACATCCACTTACGAAGAGTTGTTTTTACTCATTGCTAGGCTCCATGCAAACCTGAGTGGAAAAAAGCAGGAATATTTCTTCACTTCCTTTTACCTAATCTCCTAGGGCTTGGTCTTTAAGAAAAGACGGGAATGGGCCAAAGAAACGGCTGAGGTGGATGGGAGAAGTCTGAGGGGCCCTGGAGTAGGATGGGATGGATGACGGACAAGGAGCAGCAAAACACGGGCTTCTACCGGCTCTAATACCTGCCCTTTTTTTTTCTTTCTCTACACCTGACCTTGTGCCATCCCTTTAACGAAGCTGTGCCAGAGGAGCTGGGGGAGGACGGGCATACTCAACTGCCTTATCATCACGTAAATCTACCTCATTTTTCTATTTTCTTGGCTCTTAAGTTGCCAGGATTGGGTTCAGCATCCCCCAAACCCGTCTCCGAATCTCGAGGACATACATACACTTTGCCCAGAACATGCATATTTAAAAAGGACATCCCTGAGGAGAAGATAGTTTGTAAAGCCTTTCCTTGGGCAGGATCTCATCTTGTGTCCTTGAATGTGTCCCCCAGTCTTAGGCAAGGCCGAAGCCTGTGTCCCCACTCCACAGATGAGGAAAAGCGGGGCCCGTAGCTGCCACAGCCAGTTGCTTGCCTTGAGCCCTAGTCGAGCAGCGGTCAACTAGCAACTCCTCCACAGGCCTCGCTTCCAGGGGTTGAGCCCCTGAAACAGCAGCCCCTGACAGCCCGTTGCGTGGAGCCTGCTGGGAGTTGTAGTCCAATGTCCGGAGCCCCTATAAGTTGGACTACAATAACCAGCATGCCTCGCGCATTGCCCCCCCCCGCCCCCCCGACCCTGCGCTTTCAGCATCGGACGCGGCCGAGTCTCCGCAGACCAGATCACTAAGAAGGGATATGGCCGCGACTCTGGGCAGCGGGGAGCGCTGGACAGAAGGTACCAGGTCTTGGCCGGAGGGTGGGACAAGGCGGAGTTCGAGAGAGATCAGGGATGGAGCTCCTGATGGCGCCTGAGGCCTGAGATCCTGGGCTTGAGGTGAAGGATGGAGGCCTGTGGGAAGATGCTGCGCCTCAGTAGGGCTCCAGAGGAGGTGGGGGCCCGCCCCGGACAGCGGCCGGGATCCGGAAACCCGGAGCGCTGGCCCCAGCAGAGGAACCGGCCGAGGGCCCAGTCACCCGGGATGACTTGTTGCCTCCGGCCCCCAGCCCCACCCCAGCCCACGTCCCATCCAGGGCCCTTAGTCGTCAGGCCCCGCCCGCCCCTGGGTGGCCGGGAGGGTCGATGCTGTGATGCGGTCTCCCATTGCTTGCTTTCCCTGTTCTTATTCTCGCTGCCACACTGGGCTGCCTGACCCTCAGTCTTGATTTGATCATGTCCCTGCAGCCCGCATCAGGACCTGTAGGCCAGCATGTTCCATCCTTCAGTAAGGCAAGGAGTATTGATCCAATACCTGTGAGATACCCGGCATTATGCCGATCCCACAGCGGGGATTTGAGAGGCATGGGCCCCTGAGATCACAGAACTCTCAGCCTATCGAGAGAGTTTGATAGGTAAACAGCCAATTACAAAACAGGGCCAATAAGCCCTGGGCTACACAGCAAGGTCGTCGGTTTGGGAAGCACACTGACAAGGCACCCATCACAGCCTGGGTGTCAGGAGAGGCCTTTTGGAGAAAACGTTACATATGATGACCTGAAGGATGCACTGGAGTTAGGCTGACTTAAAACGGATGGTGTTACAGGCCCAGGCAACAGCATGTGCAAAGGCACAGAGAAAAAAGACAGCACAGCTGATCTAAAAGGAATTTGGTATAGCTAGATCATAGACTACACAGGAGCATGTGGTGAGAGATTCAACTGGGAAGGCAGGCTGGATCCACGATAAGAATTGGATAAGGACCAGTGGGTAGTCATGTAGGGATGTTTAAGCAGGAGAGAGATGTTTTTAAAGCCTTTGCCAGATCCTCCAGACGTGAGTATTCTGCTCTCTTTCACTGGATTGCTATGGCCCTTTTTACATTCTACAGGCATTATGGTTAATTGAATCCTCTCCCTGTAAACTTTAACCTCTTTGTGCTCAAGAGTAGATCTTACCTGTACATGAGCAATGTCACTTCTGACCACAGAGAAATAAGTTTTCCTCTTGCACTAAAAGCAAGGTATTAAGCAAATGCCTCTTGAGCCCTTTTTCTGGCTTTGAGGCAAAATATTTTGCTGAATGACCACTGTAGGTATGATGGATATTATTACGCCTCATATTTCTGGCATTATAAGTTTTTCATAGTTGCCTCCATATTTTCTGTATTGTTTTCTCAAGGAAGATGTTTTTTCAGTTTTGTATGTTTGCTTAAAAGTCGGCATGATGGTAGTAGCCCGGCCCTCACACTCATCTGCTCACACCTACAAGCAGCTGCCCAGATAGCTGAGGCAGGTAGCAAAGTTAATTTGCAGGTGAGTCTGAGGCCTAATGGAGGGGCTGTTGCTTTGCAGCTTACATTGATGCAGTTAGAAGAAACAAATACCCAGAAGACAGACCTCCTGAAAGTCACGACCCCTGTGGCTGCTGTAATTGCATGAAGGCACAAAAGGAAAAGAAGTCTGAGAATGAATGGAATCAGACCCGGCAGGGTGAGGGGAGTGTCACGTATACTGAGGAGCAACTTCTTGGGGTACAAAGGTGAGCTTATGGTGGGATTAAATGAGTGATTTTATGTAGAAAGCCTGTCACAGACAATGTGCTAAGTATTGACTACTATTATTATTTTTTTATTAAGATATCATTGATGTACAATCTTATGAAGGTTTCACATGAGCAATATTGTGGTTACTATATTCACCATATTATCAAGTCCCCCCAACACCCCGTTGCAGTCACTGTCCATCAGCATAAGATGCTACAAAGTCACTCCTTGTCTTCTCTGTGCTGTATTGCCTTCCCCGTGACCCCCCTACATTATGTGTGTTAATCATAATGCCGCTTAATCCCCTTCTCCCTCCCTCACCACCACTAGTCTCTTGTTGGAGTCTGTGAGTCTGCTGCTGTTTGTTCCTCCAGGTTTTTTTTTGTTGTTATACTCCACAAATGAGAGAAATCATTTGGTACTTGTCTTTCTCCACCTGGCTTATTTCACTGAGCACAATACCCTCTAGCTCCATCCATATTGTTGCAGTGGTAGGATTTGTTTTCTTCCTATGGCTGAATAATAGTCCCTTGTGTATATGTACCACATCTTCTTTATCCATTCATCTACTGATGGACACTTAGGTTGCTTCCATATCTTGGCTATAGTAAATAGTGCTGTGAGAAATATAGGGGTGCATATGTCTTTTTGAATCTGGAGTCTTGTTTTCTTTGGGTAAATTCCTAGGAGTGGAATTCCTGGGTCAAATGGTATTTCTATTTTTAGTTTTTGAGGAACCTGCATATTGCTTTCCACAATGGTTGAACTAATTTACATTCCCACCAGCAGTGCAGGAGGGTTCCCCTTTCTCCACATCCTCTCCAAGATTTGTTGTTTCTTGTCTTTTGGATGTTGGCCATCCTAATTGGTGTGAGGTGATATCTCATTGTATATTAATTTGTATATTATTTGTATATTAATTTTATTGTATGTTAATTTGCATTTCCCTGATAATTAGTCATGTGGAGTATCTTTTCACGTGCCTCTTGACCATCTGAATTTCTTATTTGGAGAAGTGCCTGTTCAGATCCTCTGACCATTTTTTAATAGGGTTATTTGCTTTTTGGGTGTTGAGGTGTGTGAATTCTTTATATATTTTGGATGTTAACCCCAATTGGATATGTCATTTATGAGCATATTCTCCCGTACTGTAGGATGCCTTTTTGTTCTACTGATGGTGTCCTTTACTGTACAGAAGCTTTTTAGTTTGATGTACTCCCATTTGTTCATTTTTACTTTTGTTTCTCTTGCCCGAGGATATATGTTCAAGAAGAATTTGCTCATGTTTATATTCAAGAGATTGTTGCCCATGTGTCTCTTCTAAGAGTTTTATGGTTTCATGACTTATATTCAGGTATTTGATCCATTTTGAATTTACTTTTGTGTATGGAGTTAGATAATAATCCAGTTTCATTCTCCTACATGGAGCTGTCCAGTTTTGCCAATACCAGTTGTTGAAAAGGCTGTCATTTCCCCACTGTATATCCATGGCTCCTTTATTGTATATTAATTGACCTTATATGCTTGGGTTTATATCTGGGCTCTCTACTGTGTTCCATTGATCTGTGGGTTTTTTCTTGTGCCAGTACCAAATTGTCCTGATTACTGTGGCTTTGTAGTAGAGCCTTTGAAGTTGGGAAGCATAATCCCCCCCAGCTTTATTCTTCCTTCCCAGGATCACTTTGGCTATTTGGGGTCTTTTGTGGTTCCATATGAATTTCAGAACTATTTGTTCTAGTTCATTGAAAAATGCTATTGGTATTTTGATAGAGATTGCATTGAATCTGAAGATTGCTTTAGGCAGGATATTATTATTATTGAAGCACAATAGCTCTTGGTCTCAGAGGCAAGACTAGGTAGAAGAGAAGTATTAGGGTGTAATCTGGGGTGACCGCCCTGCTTCTGCGAGAGAGGCAGGGAAAACCAACTAGACATAACAGATATCTATACAATATCCTACCCAACAACAGCAAAATACAGTCTTCTCAAGTATATATGGAACAATCCCTGGGATAAATTTAAAAGGATTAAAATCATAAAGTGCATGTTCTTTGAAATCAACAACAGAAGGAAATTTGGGAACTTCACAAATACATGAAAATTAAACAGCATATTCCTAAATAATAAATATGTTCCAGAAAAAATCATAAGGAAAATTAGAAAATACTTTGTGATGAATGAAAATGGAAACACAATATACCAAAATACATGGGGTGCAGCTACAGCAATATTTAGAAGGAAATTTATAGCCATAAATGTTTACATTTATTTCTTTTTCTTTTTTGCTCCTTTTAAAAAATGTAAATATAGTTGATATATAAATGTTTACATTAAAAAAATTAATCAATAACTTAATCTTCCTCTGTAACAAACTAGAAAAAAGAAGAGCAAACTAAATCCAAGCAGGCGGAATGAAGGAAATGATATAGAGTGGAGATAAATGAAATAGAGTACAGAAAAACAACACAAAAAATCAACAAAATTAAAGTTGGTTTTTTGAAAATATCAAAATTGACAAACCTTTAGCTAGACAAATCAAGAAAAAAAGAAGAGTCAAATAACTAAAATCAGGAATGGAATGAAAGAGGGGACATCACAACCAATCTTAGAAAAAATAATAAGGGTTATAAAAGAATAGCATGTACATGATGTTGTTGGGAGAAATAAGTGCTGTCCATGTGGTTCCACCATATGGCTCCAACCAGAAGCTCCTGCCTGGCCTCTCCTGGACCCTGCCCTGTATACAATTTTCCTTTGCTGATTTTAATCTCTATCTTTCTATTATAATAAACAATAAACGAGATTAGAACAGCAAAAAAAAAAAAAAGAATAGCATGTACAATGGTATGCCAATGAATAAGTAAATTTAGGTAATATGTGCAAATTTGTAGAAAAATACAAACTACTGAAACTGATTAAAGAAGAAATAGAAAATCATATAGACCTATAACAAATAAAGATATTGAATTAATATTCAAAAAAGTTCTCACAAAGAAATCCCAGACCCAGATGGCCTCACTGGTGATTTCTTCCAAATGTTTGAAGAAGAATTAACTAATCTTTCATGAATGGTTACAAAAATACAAGAGAAGGGGGTACTCCCCTGCTTATTCTATGAGGCTAGTATTACCCTGTAACCAAAATCAGGCAAAGACATCACAAGAAAACAAAACTATCAACTCAATATCCTTTATGGATATAGTCCAGTAACATATAAAACGTATAAAAAGGAACATATGCCTTGACCAAGTGGGATTTACCCCAGGAATACAAGGTTGTTTAACATATGAAAATGAATGTAATCCACCATTATTACTTGAGTAAAGGACAAAAGCCACATGATCATTTCACTAAGTGCTGAAAAAGCATTTGACAAAATCCAACACTCTTCCATGATAACAACACTCAGCATAGTAGGAACAGAAGGGAACTTCCTTAACCTGATAAAAAACCATCTACAAAAAATCCACAGCTCACATCAGCTTAATGGTGAATGAGGAGATGCTTTCTGAGATCAGGGACGGGATAGGAACAAGACAGGCATCTTCAGTGTAGCCATTTCTATTTAACATTGTATCAGAGGTTCAAGCCGGGGCAGTTAGACAAGAAAAAGAAACAGAAACCATCTAGATTGGCAAGAAGTAGTAAAACTTCACAGATTATATGATCTAATGTAGAAAATTCTAGGGAATATACACATACACACACATAAACTACTAGAACTAATAAATGAGTTGAACAGAGTTGCAAAATACAAGACCAATATACAAAAATCATTGTTTTTCCATACAGTAGCAATGAACAATCCAAAAATGGAAAAGGAAACAATTTCTATTTATAACACAATCACAAAAGAATAAAATGCTTGGGAATAAATTTAACAAAAGAAGTATAAGATTGTACATTGAAAACCACAAAACTCCATTAAAAGAAATTAAAGATCTAAATAAATGGGAAGATAGCTTTCATGAATTGGAAGGCTTAATATTGGTAATAGGGTACTACTCAGATTGGTCAACAGATTCAACACATCTCTATCAAATTTCCAGCTGCCTTTTTTGCAGAAATTGCCAAGCTGATCCTAAAATTCATATGGAAACACAAGAGACCCAGAAAAGCCAAAACAGTCTTGAAAAAGAACAAAGTTGGAGGACTCGCACTTCCCAATTTCAAAACTTATTACAAAGCTACAGTAATGAAGACAGTATGGACCAGGATAGGACAGAGTCCAGAAATAAACCTTCATATTTATGGTCAATTGATTTTTCACAAGATTGCCAAGACAATTTAATGGGGAAGGAGCTGTCTTTCACAAATTTTGGGACAATTGGATATCCACATGCCAAAGAAAACTTGGACCACTTCCTCACACAAACATAAAGATTAACTCAATTAATCAGACCTAATATTAAGACCTAAATATAAGAGCTAAAACTATAAAACTCTTAGAATATGTCTTTGTGACATTGGATTAGGTGATTTTTTAAATTGACACCCAATGCGCAAGCAATAAAAGAAAATATAGGTAAATTGGACTTCATCAAAATTTAAAACTTTTGTACTTCAAAAGATACCGTCAAGAAAGTGAAAAGTCAAACCAATATTTTCAAATTATATATCTGATAAGAGACTTTTTTTTTTTGTATCTAGAACATATAAAGTACTCTTACAACTCAACAATAAAAAGACAAATCACCCAATTGAAAAAAAGATCTGAATAGGCATTCCTCCAGAGAAGACATACAAATGGCCAATAAGCACAGGAAAAGTTACTCAATATCACTAGTCATTAGAGAAATGCAAAACAAAGCCATAATGAAAAACCACATCACCTCATACTCACTAGGATGGCTGTAATAAAAAAGATGGATGATAGTAAGTATTGATGAAGACATGGAGAGATTGGAACCCTTGTATATTGCTTCTAAGAATATAAAAGGGTACAGCAAGTTTGGAAAATAGTATGGCAGTTCTTCAGAATATTAAACATATGACCTAGCAGTCCACTCCTAGGTATATACAAAGAGAAATAAAAAATGTACTTCCACACAAAAACTTGTACATGAATTCATACAGAATTATTCATAATAGTCCCCAAATAGAAATAACGTGGATGTCTGTTAACTGATGAATGAACAAAATGGGAATACCCACACAATAAGTACTTTTCAGTAATTAAAGGAATGAAGTACAGGTACGTGCTACAACATGAACGAACCATGAACATTATGCTAGTGAAAGAAGTCAGACACAAAAGACCGCATATTATATAATTCCTTTTATATGAGATGTCTAGAATAGGCAAACTTAAAGAGACAGAAAGTAGATGAGTGGTTGCCAGGAGTTGGGAAGTAGAGGAATGAAGAATGACTGCTGAGTATGGGGTTTCTTTTTGGGGTGATAAAAATGTTCTGTTATGATTAGTATACATGGTGTGGAGGGGATCATGGGGAAGACAGTGTAGCACAGAGAAGACAAGCAGTGACTCTGTGGCATCTTACTACGCTGATGGACAGTGACTGCAATGGGGTATGGGGGGGCTTGATAATATGGGTGAATGTAGTAACCACATTATTTTTCATATGAAACCTTCATAAGAATGTATATCAATGATACCTTAATAAAAAAAATGTTCTGGAGTTAAGTAGTGATGGGTGCACAACTCCGTGAATGTACCAAAAAAAACCACTGAACTGTACATTTTTAAAGAGTGGCCTTTGTGATCTATGAAAAGAAGAACAAAGTTGGAGGACACACATTTCCCAATTTCAAAACTTATTACAAAGCTCTTACTTTGTAATCAATAAAGCTCTTACTAAATAATAAGTTTGTAAGAGTCAGGCAGAGAAGTATCTGCCATTGAAAAATATACCTGGGATTGGAAACTGGGCTGCTTCCGGGAAAGGATCCTGACTGACATTCCAGACCGTGCATTATAGTCCAGCCTGTATTACTGACTTCCTATGATGTCTTCAACAGGGCTCTGCATCTCTGCCTGGCTAACGGAATTGTATAGTAGCAAAAGACCGGAGACATTCTAAATGCCCATTAGTAAGGGATGTATATATATATACAGAAAACACAAAAATATGCAGCTTTTTAAAAGAATGAGGTAGATATATAATAGCCAGTATTTATGTAGTGTCAGATGCTATCAAGCACTTTGATGAATATTTTGTTTAATCATAATAGCAGCTCTGTGAAATATAGTTATAATTAATAGCCTATTTCAGAAGACAACACTAAGGCACAGAGATTAAATAAATACACAGCAAGATCAGATCTTAGCCAAGCCATTTGACTCCAGAGTATATGCTCTAGTCTAGCAGTTCTCAAAGTATAGTTTGGGAACCCCAAAACTCTTTGAGGGGGTCTGCAAGTGTTAACTATTTTCATAATAATACAAACACATTATTTGCCTTTTTCATTCTTTTTCTGTTATGATTATACAGTGGAATTTTTGAGAGGCTACCTGATATGGAATTATATCATCACTCTGTTTTAAAAATTTTTTGTTTTTACTTCTAGTATGGTAAATATTGATTTAACTCACAAAAACAAAAGATCTTTTGGGGTCCACAATAATTTTTTAAAGTATAAAAAACTTCTGAGCTCAAAGAGTCCAGAATTGACACTCCAAATGATTCTATACTTCTCATCTCTGTATGTTGTGGGTCCATCTCTAAGACAAACTGTTAAAAAAAAAAAAGCAAGATGTAGAAAGTTGATTATAACATGCATCCATTAAGAAAAAAATGGAGCGGTCTCTCTACATATACTCACTGTGTACATAGCATTCACAGAAAACTTCTAACTGGTTGTCCATAGGGTGGGAGACTGGGGGACAGGGAATGGGGAAGATTTTTCACTGTATATTGTTTAGCCCTGTTGGATATTTTTCTTTGCCATGTGTATTTTAAAACACATCAATTGGGTTATTTTAAAACACTTTTTAAAACAAAGTTGAGAAAAGATAGCCTTAAGGAAAAGAAGAGAGAGAGAAAAAAAAAAAAAGAGGGCGATTAGGTGTTTCTTCAAGCATTGCTGTTCTGTGGTTCAACTCTCAACCTTAGTCTGTACTTTGAGTAAAGATTAGTATGTATGTTCTACCCACTTGCAAGGATACAGAAAGAATAAAATATTAAATATAAAAATAACTGACTCCAAGAATGAACTAGTGGTTACCAAAGGGGAGGGGTGTGGGAGGGTGGGTGGGGAGGGAGGGAGAAGGGGACTGAGGGGTATTATGTTTAGTACACATGGTGTGGGGGATCATGGGGAAAACAGTGTATCACAGAGAAGGCACATAGTGGATCTCTGGCAACTTGCTGCACTGATGGACGGTGACTGCACTGGGGTATGGGGGGGACTTGATAATATGGGTAAATGTAGTAACCACATTGTTTTTTCATGTGAAACCTTCATAAGAGTGTATATCAACTATACTTTAATAAAAAATTTAAAAATATATATATATATATAAATAACTGAACTGCATTAAGCTCTTATTGGGAGGAGGACATTGTTAATGAATTTGAATATGTCATTAACGTGATCACCAATTTTCTTTAAGGTTTGTTTTGGGGCTCACAGATTGGAGGGAGGGTCAGTGTACTATTTTACAGTAAATTGTATTAAAAGGGGCTTTGTAGACAGATGTATTTCTGATGTGTGTTTTTAGGATCAAGAAATGCAGAAATTACTATGAAATTCTGGGAGTTTCTCGAAATGCCAGTGATGAGGAGCTTAAGAAAGCTTACCGAAAACTCGCCCTGAAATTTCACCCTGACAAGAACTGTGCTCCTGGAGCAACAGATGCTTTCAAAGGTCTGATCCTGAACTAATGCTTAATTCTGTCCTTCTTGTGATGTTTGGTCACAACAAATTGTTTTCAGCCTCCCCTGTAATTGGTTTATAAAGCCACAAGCAGGGCTCTATTTCCTGCCACACTTCTTAAATAGTGATTATCAGCAGAGCTCCCTGTCTTCATTCACTTACCTTAATTCTTTTGGAAAAAAGTATTTGGTTTATCTGTAATGAAACAGATCTGTGTGCCAGGTGCCACAGTAAATAAGACAGACATGATTCCTGTTGTGGAACTTAAAGGCTGGTGGACACTTGCAAGTAGTGTCTAGACAGCATCCCCAAACATCTTTGGCCATGGAACTCTTTGTTTATGAAACCTCTGTTGTTAACATCTTCACATGGAAAAGCTGTGTATAAAGGCTTGTGTAGAAATACAGTTACAGATCAAATCTTTTTTCCATTGATTTCTATGATACTTTTAGAACTATATTCTTCAAAAATATTTTAGACCCAAAACATAAATAAAACTCTTACTAAGTACTACACCCCCAGTGAAGTTGTTAATTCAGGCAAAGATTATCAATGGATGCTAAAATCACTGGGTGATAGGTTGTTGTTGAATAGGATATTCACATGATGTCCAAGTATCACTCCACAGAATACTTACTGCTTACAAAGGTAAAAAAGCCCTTTATAATGGAGATACCTAGCTGTTACCACTTTAACCAAGTGATCCAGCTTAACCATCACCAGTACCGGAACAACCTAACATTATGTGGTATAGCACCCATGTGGTGTTCTGCCAGAGTGTTTGACCTGAATGTAATAATGAAGAAACTATCAAAATATGGGACATTTTATAAGCAACAGTGACCTACTCTTCAAAAAATTCAACATAATGAAAAGCAAAAAAGGTGGGGAGACTGTTCTAGATTAAAAGAAACTAAAGAAATGAAAACCAAATGCAATACATGAACCTTGCATGGACTCATTAGGTGATAATGAATGGATGTTAATATCCTTTGCTGTGATAATGGTATTGTCATCATGTAGGAGAAGGTCTGTTGTTTTTAGGAGATGTATGCTGAAGTATTTAGGGGTGAAGTATAATATCTGTGGCCCACTTTCAAATGATTCAGCAAAAGAAATGTGTGTACAGAGAGTTAAGGGAAGCAATGTGGTAAAATGCCTACAGTTGTTGAATCAAGGTAAAGGGTATGTTTGTTTATTGTACTATTTTTTTTTTCAACTTTTCTGGAGATTTGAAAATTTTCAAAAGAAAAAGTGAAAAACGATAGATCTGAAAAAATGTTGAAGTCAATGTTTATCTCAGAGGACAATCCACTTTTTGTGATGTGCCCTTGTGAATCTAGTTCTCCCAGTTTCTACAAGGAAACAGTAACTCACATTCCCTTTACACCTTCATGTAAGGTATCTCACAGACTAATGCCATTTCTTTGAAAAATATGACAGATTTCAAGGTATGTGAATGTTTAAGCAACTCTGTTTAGGTTTTTTGTTTGTTTTTTCTACTTAGCTATTTTATTGCTATAAACATTTAATATAATTCCCTAGCTAGAAGAATAAAACGGAAATGCTCTTTGTGACTGTATTTCTGCTAGTGTTGGCTGAATTAGAGGTAGGGGGTAGGGAATATCTTAAAATGTGTTTTTGAGGTTTCTTCAGTTGGCGGTACTGATGGCATGTTTAAATGAAATTGGACAAAGTTTACACACTTGTGCATATGGACAGGAGGTGATAGAAACATACATAACCTAGTCAGTCTTTGATCCCTCATTGAGACACTGGAGGTACATTTCTTAATTTCTAAAGACCATATTCTAAAGTAAACTGAAATAAGACTGTGATGAGTAAGGACTTTGCTTTTAGCCAAGTAATAATTTTACAGATTCAGGAGATTCTTTCTGACTTCACGTTAGAATGCCCCTACTTATGTCTGAACTGTTTCCAATCATAAACTACTGCTCTCAAGTGAAATGAGAACACATTTTTGGTGAATGAGAGAAGTAGTTCTTAGTTCATCTTCAGTCCATTGTTGTTTCTGGCTTATCAAAATGGAAAATCCCAAAGGCAAGCACTTTGGTGAATTTACTAAGCCCAAGGACCTCTCCCTGGGGCCCCCAGAAAGTATGCAGCACCAATCAGCTCTGAGCTCTTCATTGCTCCTACTGTGTCACCCTCAGGCTGCAGCAAAGACTGTATACTCAGGTGCGTTCTGGTTCTGGTTACAGCAATAGGAAATGCCTTTGCAGTCCTGAGCAATCCTGACAAGAGACTCCGCTATGATGAATATGGAGATGAGCAGGTGACTTTCACTGCCCCTCGAGCCAGACCTTATAATTATTACAGGGACTTTGAAGCCGACATCACTCCAGAAGAGCTATTCAACGTCTTCTTTGGAGGACATTTTCCCACAGGTTGGTATCTCAAAATTATCATTAAAAAATTATATAGAGATAGATAGATATCTCAGCAAGCTCCTGTATGAGGATCTGAATAGAGGGACCATAATATGGTGGAAACAGCTAGAATTTGGAATCAGATGAGCTGAGGTTTGAGGCAAGTCTCTAGTCTCCTATGAAATCACTTAGTGTCTCTGATTCTGTTTCCCCACCTAAAAAATAGGGCTGATAATACCTATCCCACAGAGTTGCTGTGAAGATTAGGTATGTTTAAGTCTTTCTAAACAAGTGGCAAAATGCCTACTATTAACATTTCTGCAAAAACAGTAGCCATATAAAGATAAAATTTAGAAAAGTACTCCCAGGAATTGGAAGTTGGGATAATTAAATGCCCAAGAAGTAAACTGAATTTTATGAGTTGCTATTAAAGATACTAGTGACATAATCTGATACTGGGCAAGGAAGCAGACGTAAGCATGTCAGACAGGATTCATGGCCCAAATGCTCTCTCTCTTTACTAGGCTTTTGGGGTTTTGTCATTCACTAATTACAAAGGACTACTTAAGTAAAGGCAGGAGAGCTAAGCATGTTCCATTTGTAGATGATTCACTTATTTTTCTACTGGGTAAAATGGGACAATACTCTACCCTTAAAGAACCTAGTTGGGAGCAAGGACCTTGGAAAAGTCAAGGAAAGAGTGTTTACCATACCCCATATTAAATGTTTTTCTTTCCCAGGAAACATTCATATGTTTTCAAACGTCACAGATGATTCCCACTATCACCGCCGGCGGCACCGACATGAGAGGACACAGGCACAGAAGGCAGAGGAGGAAGATAAGCCTCAGGTACCTGCTCATAAACACTTGTACTGAGGTGACCACTATGGTGTGTGATCAGGGTTTAGAAGTTCACCTTGAGAGATGATACTAAAATGTGCTTTAGGAGAACAGGGGCAGTGGTAAGAAGAGCCTGGATAGTTGGCTCAGAAAGGCCAGAATGGTACCCCTCTTCCCCACCTATTTTTTAGTGACTGTCCCAGGAAATTAGTTCCCCTGTGGAGCTGTCTTGATCAAAGTTCCCTTGACTGAAGAAAATAGGAACCCCCTTCAAAGTCATAAGAACTAACGGGGCTTTAAAGTAAGGGATCAAGGGAATCTTGAGCAGCTCAAGGGCAGGAAACACAGTGGGCCTCATGACAGACCGGAACCAGGAACTGCAGTGCTGTCCGCCCCCCACGCGGATGTGCTCCCCGTGACTCACTGGGGCCAGATTGTCTCCAGTTTTCCCATCTCTCTCCATCGCTTTGTTCTCTCTAACCAGCCTGGTTTGTTCTCCTTCCCTCTGCAAGTGGCCAGTCTACAGTGCCTAAGCGTTATGTGTCCTTTCCTCAAGTGACTGTCTAGAAGTGAAAGTTGATGAATCTCAGTCCCGAATTCCCAGGAAGAAGAATGTGTTGATCCTTTCTAGGCTTAGGTGTCCCCCAATCCATTCAGCTGTGGCCAAGGCAACAGAGCTGCACGATACTGGTAGGACCCCATGAGAGTCACAGTCTGGGTAGGTTCCCCCAGCGGTATCTGCTTCATTGGTCTTAGGAAAGGGGGCTGCCCGAGAATTACTGGCTGTCAGTCCAGGTTGTGGGTGGGCCTTCTTCAGCCGTCTCAGCTGAGAGAACAGGAGTTGTCTGGTACTTCTCAAGTACCAAACTCACTACTTGCGCAGTGCATTATTGGTATTTGTGTTTTCTCTGGGGAAACCATCCTATTTTCTGTAAGCTTTCTATTGATGAAGAACACTTACACCAAATATTTTTTCTTTTTCAGACTACGTATTCTGCATTTATTCAGTTACTTCCAGTTCTTGTGATTGTGATTATATCTGTCATTACTCAGCTGCTGGCTGCTAATCCCCCATATAGTCTATTCTATAAATCGTAAGTTTTTATAAATCTTTCTTAACGACAATCTGGAGGTTGAAAGACCTGAAGCTTTTACCAGTACATTACTAACATTTCATTTCAGCTTTTGTTGTAGAAACACTGATTTTGTGTTTAAAGGAACAGCTGGATAGTAATAGTCCCAAGATTGAAAAATACTCTTAAGTTTCCTGTGAGTTTAGGAAATTGATTGTTTTGTTCTACAGCGACACCATCCGGTCAGCTGCAAAACAGCAACACCTGGTTTCTGAAAGATTAACAGAAGAACCATGTTCAGATTAAATCCTTATCACACCATGTCAAAGTTGGAAAGGGCCTTATTGAGTTTGTGATAGGATCACTGGACCCCTGTGGGTCTGGGAACCTACTAATGGAGATATGGTGATTATTTTCAACTTAAGAAATTGCAAGAATAGGACATTTATTTGTGATAAGGCTCCATATATAGTCAAACCATAGTATCACATTTTTTGCTTTTCTGAAAAATATAGAAATTCATAGAAATGTTTGTATGACATGCAAATTATGAGCTTTGAAAGGCATTTTTAAATTTCTTCATTATTTAATTAAGACAGGTGTCAAAGTTTGGTCCCCAGAACAGCATCAGCAGCATCAACTGGAAATCTATTAGAAATGAAAACTCTTAGGCCTCGTTTCATATCTATTGAATCAGAAATTCTGGGGATGAGAACCAATTGTAAATTCTGAGTTTTAAGAAGCCCTCTAGCTAATTTTGGTCCATTCTAAAGTTTGAGAATCACTAGGTTAATTTTTTTTTTTAATTAAAAATGAGAAATGAGTCATTACTCATTATTATATTTTAGCAGATAGAAATGTTACAAAATGTGGACTCCGTGGGGCAGTGCATACCAGGAAGAGTCTTTGTAGATGATCACTACAGAGTGAAGACCATCATTCTAGCTTGATGTCTTCATTTTACAGAGAAGATAGCTGAGACTCAGAAGTTATTGCTATCGGGTCAGCCTGGCCCAATTCCCTCTATTTCCAGAATTCCCATGTTTCTCCATCTGCTATTGTTACCTCCTTACTTGTCAGGCCAGTGGAGCAGGCAGCAACCTGCCCTTCCCAGAGGGAGATGGGAGCAGTCGTGGCCTGAGCTCTTAGACATTCAGTGAGATCCTTAGGTAGAGAGGTCAAAGGAAAAGTCTGGGAAATGGTCAAAGTCGCTCATTTGAAATGGAATTTTTTCCAGTTTAAATAAAATCTGCTTGTAGTTTGCACATTGCTACTACACTGTTTTTTAACTTCAGTTTCAGCTCCCTTCTATACCTCCTTATCATTAGAATTTTGTTAACCCACACCCATTAATGTTTCTTAGTACCAGATGCCACTGAATATCTTAGACCCACAGAGAATTAACCCAAACACTTTCTTGAAATCTTTTGCCTGAGTTTTTTGCAGTTCTCATTTAGCAGCTGTGCATGAATTACGTTTTATCCTGTCCTAAAAATTGGTGCTAGGTTGATGTAAGCTATCTGGTTATTTGTAAATAATTTACCGTAACAATCAGTTCAGTCAACCAGCATTTACCAATAGCCTATTCTGGCCAGGTACCATGCTCTAGGTCCTACACAACATGAAATTGTTATTTTAAGCATTTAGCATTCTACTTCTAACATAGAAAGTAGTATAAGAGAGAAAACCTTTAAGAGACTAAAGTAACTATGCTGAGGCCAAGTCCCCAGTGTGAATGGGCCCACATAATAGCCATAGCAATGACATTGCGCTTACTGCATGCTGGGTAAATAATAAATGTTCAGTGGATTAGAAAATGAGATCTGCATCTGCCCTGGGAAGAGGGGGTTGTGATCATGATATCCTTGAGGCTGATGCTAAGAATGATAATGCTTACCTGAGCCTCTCCTTGTTTCAGGGCCTTGGGCTACACCATTTCTAGGGAAACCCAGAACCTGCAAGTGCCTTACTTTGTGGACAAAAACTTTGACAAGGCCTACAGAGGAGCCTCTCTGCATGACCTGGAAAAGACGATAGAGAAGGATTACATTGATTACATCCAGACGAGTTGTTGGAAGGAGAAACAACAAAGTAAGATGCTCTAAAGGGGGCTTTAGCTGGTGGCTGTGCTTCCGGCATCGGGCATCCCCAGCTTCCTAACCCCTCCGCTCCCCTTATGAGTCTCACATGTTTGAGACGTGTAACAGGGTCAGGGCAGAGGCCCATTCAGGGTCCTACCAGCAAGGGGAGTTTATTGACAGGATGCACATGGCCAGGACTTGGAAATCTTAGGAACTTAGGAAGGCGGCACTAGCTGCCTGTTTGTCTGTCTCTGCGGCTCTACCTCTCTTTGCCTATCTGCCCCCCTCTCCCCTCTCTGCTACCTGCCCTCCTTTGCCTCATCAGGCTCTCCTCCTTCGTCACCTTGTTTTGCCATGGTTCATTTTGGCTGCGACCCTCCTTGTCACTCTCCACACTTCCACAACCCCACCAGTCAGTGGCCCCTTTCTGGTCGACTGTGGCCACACAGAACAAAAGTGGCCCTCCCTGAGTCGGCCTCTTCAGCAGAGTGGCTGTGAGCAGGCCTTCCGGTCCACTCCCCATCCTGGAGATATTGGGGTGATGGACGGTGTCTGCCACTTGGCTTACAGCTCCGGGGAGTGCTGACGGGGGTGCCGACAGCAAGGGGGGCCTGACTCTCAGCCAGCAAGCTCAGTTTTCCTCCCACTTGAGTTACATACACACGCGCCATTAGTAACTCTATCTTACGAAACTTAGCTTTGGTTAATTTTTAAAAAGTAAACACCAACTCTTTTTTTAAACCTTATTACTGGGTATTATTAAACATCTAGTGGTGTATGGTAAAATTAGCTCTTCAGTCACAATGCTGCTAAGCCCGTGCTGACCCATCACACGTCCCAACCCCACCCCCAAATTAATCTCTCCTTCCTCCATGTTCTTGAAGCACCTCGTTCATCCTGCTAGCACAGTACTGTCCCCACAGCTTTAGTGTCCCACAGGAACACCCCAGTCTCCCTGCTGGACTGGCTGAGGACAAGAACCACATTATACTAACTTCATGTCCCAGGCCCCTGGTGCAGTCCCTACTTCAAGAACAGGTGCTTGACGCATGTCTTTTGAACAGAATATTCTCAGGACTGGAAAACAATGAAAATGCTGAGATTAAGTATCACAGAGCAGTGTTAATCGTCCTAACCCCATCCCTTAGGGACCTTTTCTCTAGCCTCTACTGCTGTAGGTCGGAGCCCAGATGAACTCTCAGGTGCATTAGGAGCTTGGTGGGCAATGACTCTTGGATGTCAGGGGGGATTAAGCAGAAAGAAGAAGTTGCTTTTCTTCTGAGAGATCAGGAAGTACCCTACTGTCTGCCAGTGGGTTCCAGCCCCCGGCAAGTTTGCTATGGATTCAATGTGACCAAAGAAGTTGACAGCAAAACATTCTTTGGGGTGAAAGGGTTTATTACCCGGCTTGTTCTCACGGGCAGTAGGTCGAGCAGTAGCATCTCTGCCTCCGCCCAGAGCACTGGGCCGAGCTCTCTATATAGCGCGATGATAGCCTATTGCCTACAGATGTGGAAGCGGTAGCCTAGCAACAGGCCAGTTACATCATCAGGTGGTTTAAGTTCAGTGAGGATCCTGGCCATAGGAACCCCAAGTTTCCCACACCTACCTTGTATTAAACTAGGTTTTGCAAGTTCCAAAAATCAGGAAAGAATTTTGGAGCAAGATGAAGGCCTTAGACTAAAAGGTAGTATATATGTGAATCCAAGTCAGATGAAGGGCACAGTGTGTGTCCTAAAGTCTCCATTGTTTTGGGCCCTGGGAAGGTTCTGCATTTGTTGCTTTCTGCAAGTCCCGGGTGAAAATCTGCATTTCGCGTTCTTTGAACACCCCCACACACCCCAGCTGGGACTGTACAGAGAGTTCATGGTAAGGATTATGCCTAAAGTGGCTTCTAGGCTTTTGTCCCCATCCCCATGAGGCTTTGGCACTCTCCAGGATAGAAATCCACCGGGTACGTATGATGTGTGTGCCCACAAGTTCCAAACAGGGTCATCAGCACCCACCCCTAAAAATCTCTTTCGGGCATTTAAGCGTGGTGGCTGCCCACAGCCTCCACACAATCCAAGTGCCATTTGAGAACCAGCAGCGCCTGCCCTCCGGATCCAGCAGCAAGTGCAGCCAACAAGGGTAAATTTAGCACTTGGAGGTTGTAAAAATAAACCCACTTGAGAACAAAGTTCACTCCTGGCAAAATACCAAATGGAAACTTTTTAGCAAAGTTAGCCATTGTCTTTCTAAATCTTTGTTCATTTCTTTTCATTGCTCTTCCTTAGAAGGCTTAATCTGAGTGAACTCCCCTGAGTGATCCCTTACTTTGAACACTAATTGCCCTGTTTACTCCTTCACAGCTGCATCTAGATAATACATTAATGCCCAGGGAAGTGGCCATGCCTCTGGGTCTGGGATGGACAAAAGTAACAGGCAGGAACTTCCTCCTGGCCTGGCTGAGCTAAGCTGAGCTGAAGTCCTGGGCCTGCCTGGCAGCGGAGGACTCCTTTGCATGCCCTGGAGCAGGGGAGCAGTGTGGTAGTTTAGGCTTTGAAATGGGGATGAAATGAACTTCCTCCTAGAGGGGTGGTATAGATTAGAGAAGATGGTGTGGGCAGAACGCTTAGGCCTTGCTAGACTGGATGCAGTGCTGTCTGTGGGGCTAGATCATGAGGGTGGTTGGGATTTTTGGGGTTTCCCAGCTGTCAAGGCTCCTGTCTGGGCTCTTGTGCAGTGTTCTCGGGAGAAGGCTCTAGGGCTCACTTCTCTTGACAATTCGCCTAAGTCAGTTTACCTAAAAGGCTTAATGTTCTATTATTCAGGCATTCAGGGCAAGGAAAACATTTGCAAAGAAGAAAACATGTTCTCTTGAGTCTGCACCTCCCAAGGATTTTTTTAAAATTAGAAATTACTGAATATTAACAGAAATTGTCAAAAGTAATATATTCATTGAGTTGACCTTTCGTTTATCAAGGGTGAAAGGATTGATTCACTGGCAGTTTGAAGAGAAGTTTCTCTAAGCATGGTTAGCAGGGAGTGCAGGACGTGGCTTCTTGAAACTGACCTTGTGCAAGGTCATTGCTCTGGAGCACAAGTCTCAGTCTCTGGGGCACTGACACCTGGTTTTAATGAACTTTATGAAAAGCAATGTCCTGTTTTGAGAAAAGCATTCATATATTTGCAGCTATCTTTCTTTAACTAGCTTGTTACACTAGAAAATGGTAAGAATCACTAGCCTTTAATGTTTTCTGGAATAAGGTTTCAGACAATGAAGCATTTAGGTAAGTTCAGTAAACAAAAAACCTAAGGAAATCACCTCAAGGAATCTGTTCCATGGACTGGTGTAACTGTGACTGCAGAAGGCCGAAAGCATAGACTGAGTTTACAGAGGCCTCTGGGACAGGGCTCCCGCATGAAGGAGCCAGAGAAACGGAGTTAGTGCTGAGCTCTGGGCAGGACGCGGGAGCAGAGGGCTTTCATTTGGGTGCGGCACGTGATCATGAAGCCGCATCACCTGCAAAGACGACTGTGCCAAGGCGTGCTCTGGCTAGCAGGCACAGCAGGCACCCGTGCCCAGGGCTGAGAGAACACCGTTCTGGAGCCCAGGAGACCCACTGCTTGCCAAGCAACTGCTGGGCTAGGGCCCAGGTGTGAGCCCCCACTGCAGAGGGAGGGTTTTCATGCATACCCACCCCTCACCCCGGAGGCCCGCGCTTCATCTGCACTTTGGGCCTTACTTGGTGTAAATAGAATCATTGTGCACAGAAATGCCAGACAGCGTTTTGTGTTGATAGAAACTTAGAAACCAATGCCCATTGTTCCCCCGGGCTAAGTATTAATTCCTGTTTCCAGACAATTTGCTGATTAATCAGACAGGTGCCTCTTGTTCCACCAAGAAAAACAAAATCTGTCAGCAAGACGATTCCAAATGGATAGACATATTTCAAAATGATTAAAATAGCATTTCCTCAAGTATGGTCCTTGAAACACTGAGTAGCTGCCTGCTGTCAGAGGCTTCCAGAAGCCACACAGCCCATCCCAGCATGCCATCCTGGTGGTACACAATGCGTCTCTGGAGGTGCTTTTCAGGCATTACCTCCGAAGAATGTGTCTGCAACTTTACAAAAGAATGAAAAATAGAGGCAGCCAAACCACTATTGAGTCAGGAAAGACAGCAGAGATTATATTCTGGTTAAAAATAGAATGACCTTCTCCACCATGAGGAGAAAATGAAATTCATTTAGTCAAGGAGACAAAGGTCACTGGATCCAGATGATTTCACTTTTAAAAGAGCCCAGCTGCCTTAGGCCTTTGCGTTAGGGGCCCCACATGTGGTGAGGGAGTGAACGAAGCCACCGGCAACCTGGCCTTCTGTACAAGGCCAGCCCAGGGAGGCAGGCTCTGTTCAGTTAGCATGTGTGAGTTACGATCCAGCAATGCAGGGGGAAGAATGAAGCAGCTGTCTTTGTTTCAGATGACAGGAACGGGTGATGGCACTCCATTCCCTCCCAACTGCCATCTGAATACCATTCATAGGAAGGCCATGAAACAGTCTCCTCTTACTGCGCGCGTGCAGGTTTCCTAAGTCTGGTGCCAAGTGTTCTAATGATAAGAACTAAGTCCTTTTATAATAGAGCACAGATACTGGAAGGCTCCCGATCACAGGTGTCCTTTAATCCTCAGCACCTGGTGTCGCGTAGCAGCCCGATGCATGTTTCCTCAATAAAGGAGTGTTTCTTAAATACGATTGAAATAAAACGCATTAAAGTAAGAGGAGCTTTGATTCCAGTCATTTCGGAATGAAACACAGGAGCTCAACTCTGTTGGTGAATTGGTCATCTTTTTATTTTTCAGAGTCGGAGTTGACAAATTTGGCAGGATTATACAGAGACGAACGATTGAAAGAGAAAGCAGAGTCGCTGAAACTTGAAAACTGTGAAAAACTCTCCAAGCTTATCGGCCTGCGCAGAGGTGGCTGACAGGATGATAGTCCTATACAGGGTTGGGGTTTTGCTACTGGTTCCTATTGATGTTCCTAATTCCATTTTATAATACAAAATTAGGAAATGATGAACACTTTACAATTTGCTAACTTTGGTGGGCAGAGTTGGAGGCACTGGAGCCTGGAGCCAGGCTTGTCAGCAGGACTCCTTCCCGGGGACGGCGCCAGGGGCTAGGAACAGTTCATCTAGATTGGATGAAAGGCAGAGCTTTTGATTCAGCCCCCCTGCTCCGTGCCTGCCGGCCTCGGCCTCGAGGAATGTAATTCAGGGCATCCCAGAGCAGGTCCGCGTTTTCATCCTTCCTGCTTTCTTCAGTTAAGTCTCAGTACCCAGTCATCCCTAGGCGTAGCCAAAGCAGCTTAGCATTAGCTGTTTACAGCATGCACCGAGAATTATGCCTCCCTTCACTGAGTCACTGTCTTCCCCAGGATTCAGGGGACCTGCTGCTACTCACCTTTCCATTCGCTAAGGGCAATCTGGAGAAATGTAAACTATTGTAGTCAGTAGTCTTTTATTTGCCTAATCTCTGTTCAGAGTTAACCTGCATTAGCAGGCTGCCTGATTTGAGCTTCTTTTATTTCCCTAACCCTCTCTCACCTGTAGAGGGTCCAGAAATTAAAAGCTGTTGAGTGAAACAGTTCAGTGGTCAACTTAGCAGCAGGAAGCAGGGACAGGGCAAAAATTAAATACAACACTGAGTCTCAGCTTCTAAGTGCATTCCCCGGTCCATCAAAGAACCCAGAGAATGTCCTTTTCTGTCATTTCCCCTTGCAGCATCACACTTGAGCTGAATCCCTATACCCCAAAGAGGTACTGTGGTCAGACCGAAGAGGAGGCCTTGCCAGCCAACTGGGCTGTCTGCTCAAGCCTAGAGAGAGGGGGAGAAAGACCCTCTTTCTGTGGCCATGAGGGTCTGGTGTTGGCCCCAGCAGTCACTTTGTTTAACCCTGTGCCCTGTAGAGTATGATAGGAGATGCTCTTTCATATAGTCAACATTTGCTGACTGCCTGGTGTTAAGCAGGGGCGCTCACGTACATTTTCTTAACAACTCTGTGAAGTAGACATTTGCCCCTGTTTCTGTGAGTGAAAACATGGTCCCAGATAAGGTGAATGAATGGTTGACCTGGGTCACACAAATGGTACCGGCATAACTAGATAGTAGGCTAATTATCAAGTACAGGTGTGAGGCCATCCCCATTTCTCAGGTGATTCTAACCAGATTGGTAAAGAATCTGTCCCAAGGATGTCCCTGTCCCCCCAGACTCTTTGACCCTGTGTCCTTTCTATGGCAGTCTTACATTTACTCGGGACATCTTCTCTACTGGTCTTTAGAAAGCAAGATCCTGTCTATACTAATTTTGTATACAAACAAGGTCTGTCAAAGACAGGCCACTGCTGACAAGGAAGAGGTAAGTTGTTACCTGGGCTCCGTGATTCTGGGCCTTCCTGCAAAGGTGAACTGCCGCAATTGAGCTGCACAGATTATCATGAATCTGAACCTGGAGGGATCAGTAGGGGACTGTAGTCTACACTCCATGTTTTCTTCTGAATGGAAGAAAAGTTCCTAGTGGAAAGAGTCTACATTAAAACTGATTTCCAAAATAGAGTTTCTCCTTTCCGATGCACAGCCATGTGTCTAGCGTGATTCACTGTGGGCGTTCTATAGGCTCGGGAGAGGGGTCCAGAGCTAAAGAATAGGGCTTTGGTGACTGGTAGCAAACAACGGCTCAGCTGTGGGGAGGGGCAGCAGCTCCAGAGGTAGCCAGACTTTGCTGTCCAACTAGACCTATCATCCTGGGTTTTGGGGGGTTTGCTTGATCCCCTCTGAGTGAATGAGGGGATTTATACTATAAAATGTGCCTATGAGCCAAACAGGCTTATGGAAAGTTTCCTATACCTACAAAAATCAAAGCTCACCTCTCCCCAACCCCAACCTCTGACTTGACAGATTAAAAGACCCTGCTGTACACTAAACTATGTTTTCTACCTTTATCTTGCATCTACCTACCACTTCAGCATTTTATTAAAAATAAAAATAATAATAATAATA